GTCTCCATTCTCAGAAAGCTACTAGAGAATATGGTCAGTGTAAATGCAGGCACATACTATGAAAGACAAAAGGGGAAACAGAGACACAGGAAACAAGATTCAGTGCAAGAGAGAGGCTGAATTAATGCTTGTGATGATGGCGAATGGGGAGCTCAAGATGAAAGTCATACCGTGGACAAAGAGAGAAGCCAATCCAGGTTGGAGCAAAATTAAAAGCTTCAGGAGGACTTCTTTTTATTTAAATATTTTATTTACTTTTATTTTCTGTGTGTATGAGTGTATTGCCTACATGTATGTAAATGCACTCATGTCATGCAGTGTCCGCAGAGGTAAGAAGAGGGCATCAGATCCCCTGGAACTGGAGCTATGGATGGTTGTTAACTGCCATGTGGGTGCTGGGAATCAAACCTAGGTCCTCTGCAAGAGCAACCAGTGCTCCTAACCACTGAGCCATCTCTCCAGCTCCAAGGAGGACCTCTTATAAAGAAGAAATTGATAACTGCCATGACAGTCATTTTGAAATACTTAATCAACTAGCAGAGCTTGAAGTTGAGCTAGAAATAAACATATTGAAAACCAGGCAAGCAAAAAGCACAGTAATCTTTAGCCCTTAGGGAAAACAAAAAAGTTGTTCAAGAAAGGAAAATCATACATTGTTATACCAATACTTGGTAGTGTTTACAAGAGGCACACCTCAAACTTAAAGACAAAGGGCTAGGAGTCAAGAGATTTATTAGGCAACTGCTAATCAAAAGAAAGCTAGGGTAATTGTGGCAGAGAGCATGGATTTTAAGACAAAAAGCATTACTGGAATTAGAGGGTCACTGCAGGATAGCAAAGGATTCTATTCACCAGGAAGAGAAGGCAGTTCTAATCTGGATGCATGCAATAATACAGACTCAAAAGAACTAGAGCTAAATTTGCAGAATTACGAGAATTATAATTACCTGCCATCATGTGGTGATCTTAACACCTCAGTAAATTAGTAGATCATGTGGGCTAAAATAATTTATGCTCTAGAAAATCTGAACAAAGGTAGACAACCTTGAATTGTTTGATATCTATAGAAATTTTACTCAGTAAATTAGTAGATCATGTGGACTAAAATAATTTATGCTCTAGAAAATCTGAACAAAGGTGGACAACCTTGAATTGTTTGATATCTATAGAAATTTTATTCAGTAACTGAATAGCCGTTTCTTTCAAGCACACATAGAATAAAAGAAAGTCTTAACCATGCCAAGCCCATAAATCTGCCTCAGATTTTTTCTCTTTACACGAGATAAAAAAACTGTTTTTGGCTGGGCGTGGTAGCAAACGCCTTTAGTCCCAGTACTTGGGAGGCAGAGGCAGGCGGATCTTTGTGAGTTCAAGGCCAGCCTGGTCTACATAGTGAGTTCAGGTCAGCTGGGACTACAGGGAGACTTTGTCTCAAAAAGACAAAAACAAACAAACAAAAAAACAAACTATTTTATGTGTATGAATGTTTTGCCTGCCCGTATGTATCTATACCATGTGTGTCTCTGGTGCCCAAGAAGGTCAGAAGATAGTGCCAGATCCTTTGGGACTTGAGTTATAAATGGTTGTGAACCAACATGTGGGTGTTGGGAACTGAACCCAGTCCTCTGCAAGAGCAGCCAGTATTCTTAACCACTGACCCAGATCTCCTGCCTCTGCATCAAAATTTTTGAAGGAGTTTACTCAGATCACATGTTCTGATTGCAGTGTTAACTCTGCTGGTATCAGGCAAAGTAGACTTTATTATTGTGATGGTGGTGAGGGGGAAGGGACGCATGCATGCCATAGCATATGTGTGGTGATCAGAGGACAACTTTGTGGAGTTGATGTGCTCCTTCCACATTTATGTGGGTTCTTGGGATCAATTCAGGTAGCCAGGCTGGTGTAGCAAGTGCCTTTATCCACTGAACCATCTCACTGGCCTTAAGGAGACTTTTAGAACGAAGCAATACTGAAGATAAAAGAGAACATTGCATAATGACCAAAGGACCAACATATAGAAGAAGGAATAACCCTAAATTTATATGCACTTAATAAATAATTATAAAATCCATCAAATAAAATTTATAGGCTGAAAAGAGAAATAAACAACTTTATAACCCTAATGAGAGAGTTGATATACTTCTCTTAGAAATTGATAAAATTAGCCTAGTATAGGGGCTCATGACTAATCCCAGTACTCAGGAGGCTGAAACAGAAGGACTGCTGAGTTTGAGGCAAGCCTGGACTATATTGCAAATTCTAGCTGGCTACAAAGAGTAAGACTGTCTTAAAAATGCATAAAACAAAATCCATGAAGATAAAAAAGCATAAAAATCAATTAAAATTCATAAATATACAGATTGTTTCTTTCTGATGAACATACCACAGTTATAAAATATGTTAACATTTGAAGAATCTAGTTGGAAAATATACAGAAGCTATGTGTGCCTTACAACTTTCTATAAATCTAAAAGTACTTTGTATAATTCTTTAAAACTTAGCCGGGCGTGGTGGCACACGCCTTTAATCCCAGCACTCGGGAGGCAGAGGCAGGCGGATCTCTGTGAATTCAAGGCCAGCCTGGTCTACATAGTGAGTTCCAGGCCAGCTGGGGCTACAGGGAGACCCTGTCTCAAAAAGAACCCCCTCCCCCCAAAAAAACCTGACATGCCTTTAATCTTGGCACTCCGGAGGCAGAGGCAGGTGAATCTCTGTGAGTTTGAGGTCAGCCTGGTCTACTTAGGGAGTTCCAGGACAGTCAGAGCTCAACAGGCGTCATAGTGAGACCCTGTCTCAAAGAAAACAAACAAAAACCAACACCCCCAAATGCTGTTTTACAGAAATAAAACGTAAATTTGAATGCTTGAAAGGCATTTGAGGGGCTGGAGAGATGGCTCAGTGGTTAAGAGCACTGGCTGTTCTTGCAGAAGACCTGGGTTCGAATCCCAGCACCCACATGGCAGCCTACAACTGTCTGTAACTCCAGTTCCAGGGACTCGGGTATCCTTTTCTGACCTCTGCAGGAATTGTACAACATGGGTGCACTTACCTACATTCAGGCAATAGACTCATACACATAAAATAAAAATAATAAAATATTTTATTTTTTATTATTATTTTTATTTTATTTTATGTGTATGAGTGTTATGCCTGCACCTAGGTAAGTGCACTCGTGTCGTGCAATGCCCGCAAAAGACAGAAGAGGCTGTTGGATCACCTGGAACTGGAGTTACAAACAGTTGTTAGCTGCCATGTGGGTGCTGGAATTCGAACCTGGGTCTTCTGCAAGAACAGTCAGTGTTCTTAACCATTGAGGCATCTCTCCAGCCCCAATAAAATATTTTTTAGAGGGATTTGATTTGGCATCTATAGAGCATTGTACCTACACCTGAAGCTTTAGATCCTTAATTATACATGGAACACTGGCTGAATTTGACCATACACTGACTTATTAAGTATAAGTTTCATAGATTTCAAATGATTGAAATTGCACACCAGATGATGTCTGACTAAAATAGATTTAATTGGTAGTCAGTAAAAAAATATAATTAGAAGCCCTCCAAATGTTTGGAAATTAAGCAATAAAATTCTAAATATCTCATGGGTCAAAGAAAAATTAGAGACTGAAATTAAAATTTATGGCATGACACTAAACATATACACATACCAATAAATTCGCAAATAGTAGAGGGAAGTAGTGTTGGTGAGGTCTCTTGTAGTATTGATCGAGAAGTACAAGTAGAGATCTTGGACCTACTTGAAATTATTTGGTTGTGTGAACTGTGCATGTAAAGTCTCACACTTCTCTGGAGCGCTTCCATATGGACCTTGATTCTATAAGCATTTCTTTTTCTTTTGGAACCAAGGTCAATCTTGCTTTGACCTTGAACATACCTTTGAGTGCTAGGATTACCATGCCTGGCACATATGCATTACTTTTAAACTTGGATAATGATTTAAAAAAAAAAAAAAAAAAACAACCAGAGCTAGGGGTATAGCTCAGTGGTAGAACACTTGTCTGCCATGTACAAAGCCCTGCGTTCTATCCCTAGCACTAGGAAAATAAAATCTTTCCTTCTCATCAGACCGTGAGATCTAATAGTACGATAAAATCTATTTTGTTTCCAACTGCATCTCTAGCACCTAAGCACAGTGCTTGTAATACCTTAGACTTAATAAACATTTGTTGAATTATGCTAGAAAGAAAGGTATAAGAGCTACATCAGACAGTGTACATATGAGGAAATGGCGGTTCAGGGAAGAAACCAAATTTCAAGCATGGTGGCACATGCTCTAGAGCCCAATCTCATGTGTGTGCACATGTGTGTGTTGTATGCACACGTGTGGGAGGGTCATGCATCCAGGTACACTCAGAACCGAGAAGGACATGGGCTATCCTGCTTTATCACTCTGTCTTATTCCTTTGGAGATAGAGTCTCTCACTGAACCTAGAGCTAAGACTGGTCTCTAGCAAGCCCCAGTGATCCTTCTGTCTTCTTTCCCCCTAGTGCTGGGGTACACAGCCATGTCTAGCTTTTTACATGGGTTCTGGAAATCTGAACTTGGGTCCTCATGCTTGAGCAACCAATGGTCTTACCCACTGAGCCATCTCCCTAATTTTCTCTCCTCTCTTCTCCCCTCCCCTCCCCTCCCCTCATCTCCTCCTCCTCCTTCTCCTTCTCCTCCTCCTTCCTCCTCCTCCTCCTTCTCTCTCTCTCTCTCTCTCTCTCTCTCTCTCTCTCTTTTGTGATGCTAGAGCTCAAACCCAGGGCCTTTCATATTTTAGGCAAGCACCCTACCACTGAGCTATACAAGGTCCAGAGCCTAGTATCTTATCTCTGCAACTAGCCAGTTTCCAGCGAAGGAACAATTTTGATTACAAAGTGCTCTATTGTCATTTGTTATGCTTTGAACATATCCTTCCAGCACTGAAGGGAGTTTGAAAGTCCCTTGGAGTACTCATCCTTTTTCTTCTGAGTTCTACATTTGCCTTCCCTCAGCTACAGGACACCATTGAGCAGGAGATTCGAGATATGGGCCTGCAAACCACTTTGTTTACCCTCACCAAGGTTTTCCAGTTGTATGAAACCAAAATCTCCCGTCACTCCACCATGATTGTGGGTGGCACAGGCAGCGGCAAAAGTACCTCCTGGAAAATTCTGCAGGCCTCCATGACCACCTTGTGCCGTGCTGGAGAACCCAACTTCAACCTTGTTAGAGTATGTAGTTGGGACACTGGGTGGCTGACACATGTCAGGAGGGGCCAGGAGGAGGTCTGAGGAGGCCTGGGATTGATGAGAGAGCAAAGGCAAATGCAAGAGCCTAAGAGGGGGTGAACTCAGGAGTTTGGGCTACCAGTATCTCAAAAATCTCTTCTGGTACCATTTTCAGGAGTTCCCTTTGAACCCAAAGGCGTTGTCCTTAGGGGAGCTCTATGGAGAATATGACCTCAGCACTAATGAATGGACAGATGGCATCTTGTCTAGTGTCATGCGGACTGCATGTGCAGGTATTCAGAGGGTCAGGTGGGGAGAGGAGATGTCAGCATTTCCTAAAGTGGGAAACTGGGGACAGGAGAGAAATGCCTGGGGAACCCTGTGTTGTAGAACATGAATGAGGGGAGAGGGTGAGGGAAGTTTCCTGGTTTCCTTATCTACCTGTGACTAAGATGAGAAACCGGATGAGAAATGGATCCTTTTTGATGGCCCTGTGGACACACTGTGGATTGAGAGCATGAACTCTGTCATGGATGACAACAAGGTGCTGACCCTCATCAATGGAGAACGTATTGCAATGCCTGAGCAGGTACTGATGCCATGTGGTGGAGGGATGGGAGGGGAACAGAAATGGAGACTGGCATACTAAGAGTAAATTTTAGGCCGACTGTGGTGGTGCACGTCTTTAATCCCAGCACTCAGAGGCAGGAAGATCTCTGTGAGTTTGAGGCCAGCCTGGTCTCCATAGCGAATCCAGGCCAGCTGGGGCTGCAGGGAAACCCTGTCTCAAAAAGACCAAAAAAAAAAAAAAAAGTAAATTCTGTAGGAGAGAATGGGGAGGAAGATCTTGGATTCAAGGAAAGCTGCCACTGAAGAAAAATGCTTTTCTAGTTTGAAAACATAACTCAGTGGTAGAGCGCTTGCCTGGCACTTACCTCTGTGCTCCATTTCCAGCACAGGAATTAGGGGGACCATTGCCTGCACTGAATGTGGGGAACAGAAAAGAACTTTGAGTCTAGAAAGAACTGTACAGATTAGGCCTTCCTCAATTTTGTTCCCAATGGCCTGTGAGGTGTGGCCTTCATCCTTGTACACCAAGGTTATGATCTCATGGCTGTCACACTCACCTCTTTTTTTTCTTTTTCTTTTTTTTGTTAGACAGCATCTCCTATAGCCCAGACTTGCCTTGAATTTGCTATATAGCTGAACTCCTGATCCTCCTACTTCTGTCTCTATCTTCCAAGTGACATGATTAGAGGTGTGTGCCCCATGCTTGGTTACACCCACTCTTTGCATTCATGAAAGTCACAGAAGATGAGGTTCTGATGGAAGTGTTTATCCTTAGGTGTCTCTCTTATTTGAAGTGGATAACTTGGCAGTGGCCTCTCCAGCCACTGTCTCCCGCTGTGGGATGGTCTACACTGATTATGCTGACCTGGGCTGGAAGCCTTATGTTCAATCATGGCTGGACAAGAGGCCAAAGGTAAGAAGGGAATTGGGAAGAGAGAAAGTGACTAGGGTGGCCCACGGGGCATAGCAGTAGATAGTGTCCCTCTTTGTTCACCTCTAGATGGAAGTAGAGCCCCTTCAACGCATGTTTGAAAAGTTCATCAACAAGATACTGACCTTTAAGAAGGAAAACTGCAATGAGCTGGTGCCCCTCCCTGAGTACAGCAGCATCATTTCCCTCTGCAAACTCTACTCAGTCCTGGCCACACCAGAGAATGGGGTAAGGGGCAGATCCAGCCCAGGGCAGGGGCAGGAAGTGGGGGTTCACAACCCCGTGGACACATTTTCAGTTTGAACACTAGGTTTGAGAGGGTCAGAAACTTGAAGGGGAGGCTTCAGCAATAATCATGAAGGTGTGTGTGGAGAGAGAGAGAGAGAGAGAGAGAGAGAGAGAGAGAAAGAGAAAGAACAAGCAGGGTATTCCTATAATTTCCCACCCATATTCTGGGAGCTGAGGATAGTTCATTCAGCTCCTTGTTTTTCTGTGTTTTCAAAATACAGCTATCAGCCGGGCATGGTGGCGCACGCCTTTAATCCCAGCACTCGGGAGGCAGAGGCAGGTGGATCTCTGTAAGTTCAAGGCCAGCCTGGTCTACATAGTGAGTTCCAGGACAGCTGGGGCTACAGGGAGAACCTGTCTCAAAAAGACCAAAAAACCCCCCCAAACAAACAGAAACAAACAAACAAACAAACAAACAAACAAACAAACAAAAATACAGCTATCAGCTAGGCATGGTGGCACATGAGGCAGATTAAGTCCAGCCTGATCTACATTAGTAGGTTCCAGGCCAGCTGGGGCTACAGGGAGACCCTATCTTAAAGAGACCCCCCAACTCCTCCCCAAATAGACCCCACAAAAACAAACAAAATGACCCAATATATATATATATATTATCTGTAGTTGCCAGTATCTGTATTCAGAACCTATTACAAGAACTCCTTATCCCTGGGCCTATGGCTCTCCCCCATGGTATTTCAAGGCTGGAATGAAGATGCTGAGTTGTGGGGGCTGTTTCCCAGCAAAGCACATGGAGTCAGGCAGCACCCGGGGCTCCATGTGCCCTGCCAGAAGAACAGCATCTGTCATAGGCTCTTTGGGCAGGGAGGTGAGAGCATGAGCTCTCAATGTGCTGTGTCTACTACTGTGTAGGAAAATTTCAAAATTAATTGTAAATATTTGATTCTTGTATGTGCATATGTTCATGAGTATATGTGCATGCATGGTACACATGCAAATGTATGTGTGTGGAGACCAGAAGTCAACATCAGGTATATTCCTCAAATTGCACTCCATCTTATTTTTTTCAAATTTTTTAATTTTTAAAGACTTATTTTATTTATGATTTTTTTTGGGAGTTCTTTTTGAGGCAGGGTCTCCCTGTAGCCCCAGCTGTCCTGGAACTCACTATGTATACCAAGCTGACCTTGAACTCACAGAGATCTGTCTGCCTCTGCCTCCCGAGTGCTGGGACTTAAAAGCACGTGCCACCATGCCCTGCTTATTATTTATTTATTTATTTATTGGTCTTTTTGAGACAAGGGTCTCCCTGTAGCCCTGGCTGGCCTGGAACTTTCTATGTAGACAGGCTGGCCTTGAACTCACAGAGATCCACCTACCTCTGCCTCCTGAGTGCCGGGATTAAAGGCATGCGACACCATGCCCAACTGCTTTTGACCTTTTGAGATAGGGTCTTACTACATAGCTCTGATTGGCTTGGAACTTGCTATATTTACAATGCTGGCTGCCAACTCACAGAGATTTACCTTTGTCTTTTGAGTGCTGGGATTAAGGATGTGTGTCACTATGCCCAGCTGATGGGCACTTTTAAAAAAAGATTCATTTGTAAATTTTTATTTTATGCATGTGAGTGCTTTGCCTGCATGTATATATGTGCACCACATGCATGCAGTGTCCATGGAGGCCTGAAGAGGGCATCAGATCCCCTTGAACTGGAGTTATAGATGGTTGTGAGCTGCCATGTGAGAATTGAACTCGGGTCCTTTGCAAAAATAACAAGTGCTACAAGTGCTGAGCCACTTCTCTAGCTGCATGAACACTTTTGGCAGGTTTAGGATGATACATATAAACACACTTCAGTAGCTACTTATATGGAGGGAGAAAGAAACCAAGATCAGCAAGAGATGAACAAACAGGACTTGAGAAGTTTGGTGTGGTGGCTCAGGCCACCACAATCACAGCACTGAGAAGGCTGAGGCAAGAGGATAACAAATTCAAGGCCAACTTAGATTATGCAGTCAGATCCTGTCTCAAAGGAAAAAAAATCTAATGTTTAGAAAGAAAAATAAATTCAACAATTACTTATGCAATAAAAAATTAAGTTTTGCTGGCTGGGCATGGTGGTGCATGCCTTTAATCCCAGCACTTGGGAGGCTTGGTCTACATACTGAGTTTCAGGCCAGCCAGGGTAATACAGAGATCCTGTCAAAAACAAAACAAAACAAAAATCCCAAGAAATAGATCATGCTACATGAAACATACTTGTTAAACCAAAAATATGATTTTGAGTTCTATATTGCTGCTATACATAGACTGGTTTCCTTGCTTTAACAGCTGTGTGTTTCATGGTAAAACTCTGGATTTTATGTTTCCCTTTCTCTACTAATAAATCTTTGGGTCATCTCCAGTTTTTTGCAGTTACAAACATGTCACCACAAATCTTGTCTCCTTGAATACCCATGAGTGCTTCTCCCGGGCAAGACTGGTACGGTCAGATGACAGTTGCACCTTTATGACTTAGCAAAGAGGCAGCTTGGAGCAACTGTAATGCTACAAGGGGTCTCAGGTTTATCTAAAACCTTTGAGTAGGTTGTAGACAAATCTGCACATTTGGAGAACAAACACCAGGAAAGGAAAGGTTCTTCACCTCTGTGATAATCTGCTAAAATAGCTCCTTCTGTCTCTTCTGTGTGCAGTGTCTTTGGAGCCTTGAGGATTATTCTAAGGCCACATCCAACATTCTAGACTCTGATACCTCTTCTCTTCTTCCATCCAGGTGAACCCAGCTGATGGTGAAAACTATGCCACTATGGTAGAAATGACTTTTGTGTTCAGCATGATCTGGTCTGTGTGCGCCTGTGTGGATGAGGATGGGCGCAAGAAGATTGACAGTTACCTTCGAGAAATTGAAGGCTCCTTTCCGAATAAGGTTAGGGGCCCTTAAAGCTGGCTGTCCCATATGCCTTGCTTTTCCAGGACTTGTGGGCATCTCTGATCCTCAGACTTTGCCTGAGCTTTCTTCTTGCTATTTCTTCTTTGTCCCTGTTGATCTGGGAGCTCTGTCTCAAGCTGGGAAGAGCTTGAGGAAGGATTGGTAACATGATTTACATACCCTCTTTAGGACACGGTGTATGAATATTTTGTGAACCCCAAGATGCGGTCTTGGACATCATTTGAGGAGAAACTCCCTAAAAGTTGGCGTTACCCTCCAAAGTGAGAGCAGGGTCTGGGGCATATGTAGGGCTTGGGGATGAAGTTGGTGGCAGATGTGGCAAGAGTGATGGGGCCCAGAAACAAGGGTTAACTGTAAAATGAGAAAGTGAATCCTGGGGAAGAGATGACTCTTGGTTTAGGAAGTGGGACCTAGAGGACCTGGGACAGGATTTTCAAGGAGAATGCCTCATCCCCAGGATCTAGGAGGCAAGGTTGATGATGAGAGCCTGGTAACACCAGAGGATAAACACTGGGAGGAAGAATGAAGTGAGATTTTAAATGGAGTGGACCAGTGGTAGTTGAGACACAGTTCCTGTCTTCCCTAGTGCCCCTTTCTATAAGATCATGGTGCCTACTGTCGACACTGTTAGATACAACTACCTGGTGAACACCTTGGTGGCCAGCCAGAATCCTGTCCTGCTGGTGGGTCCAGTGGGAACTGGGAAGACCTCCATAGCTCAGAGTGTTCTCCAGTCCTTGCCCTCTAGCCAGTGGTCTGTCCTCATTGTCAACATGTCTGCACAGGTAAGTTGGGAGCTCAGGCCACCAGTTGCCTGAGCAGTTACCATCTGCTCTTCCCCAAAATCCATGTGCCTAGATGACACTCCTTTCTGACCCCATATTTCTCTTGGAAAACCCTGACATCCATTCTGTGACTCTTCCACCAGACCACATCCAACAATGTGCAGAGCATCATTGAGAGCAGAGTGGAGAAGCGAACCAAGGGTGTGTACGTGCCATTTGGAGGCAAAAGCATGATCACCTTTATGGATGACTTAAACATGCCAGCTAAGGACATGTTTGGGTCCCAGCCACCCCTGGAGTTGATACGTCTCTGGATTGACTATGGCTTCTGGTATGATCGTCTGAAGCAGACCATCAAGCACATTCGAGTAAGTATCGTGAGAAGTTGTTCTCAGACTTCTATTCTCTTCTGTGACAGGATCAGTCCCTGCACCACTGGGTCCCTGGGTTCTAATCCTCTAATCCTATATGCCTCCCTGCACAAGAGTGTCTTGTCTCTTTCTGAGGATCCATACTTTTGGCTCCCAAGTTGTTGTTATTATTATTATTATTATTATTATTATTATTATTATTATTGGTCTTCTTAAGACAGGGTCTCCCTGTAGCCCCAGATGGCCTGGAACTCACTATGTAGACCAGGCTGGCCTTGAACTCACAGAGATCCACCTGCCTCTATCTTCTGAGTACTGGGATTAAAGGCATGTGCCATCACACCTGGTGACTCCCTATTATTATTATTATTATTTTTTTAAATGAATGCCAATTTTTTTTATCTTTGTTTTTGAGACGGGTCTCCCTGTAGTCCCAGCTGACCTGAACTCACTATGTAAACCAGGCTGGCCTTGAACTCACAGCGGTCTGCCTGCTTCTGCCTCCCAAGTGCTGGGACTAAAGGCCTGTACCACCACACCCGGCATGAAAGCCAATTTTGTAAAAAAAAAATTATTTATTATTTTTATTTTATGTGTATGCATGTATTGCCTGCATGTAGTTAAGTGCACCCATGTCAAAAAAGAGATATAGCTGGGCGTGGTGGTGCACACCTTTAGTCCCAGCACTTGGGAGGCAGAGGCAGGTGTATCTCTGAGAGTTCGAGTCTAGCCTGGTCTACATAGTGAGTTCCAGGTCAGCTGGGGCTACAGGGAGACCCTGTCTCAAAAAAGACCGAGAGAGAGAGAGAGAGAGAGAGAGAGAGAGAGAGAGAGAGAGAGAGATAATGGGGCTGAAGAAATGGTTGTTAAGAGCACTCCAGTTCTGGGCAATGCATATGTGGACGTACTTACGTACATGCAGGCAAAACAGACACATAAAAATAAAATTTAAAAATTTAAAAATTAAAGGTATAATGAGACTTTATTTACCTAAATTTTCTAAATTTGGCACATAAATTACAACAGTGAAATAAAGGTAGCTTATAAATAATCTAAAAAATTTCCCTAGTCCCTCCTTCTTTCCACTTTTGTGCACATTCTCCATGTTTCCCCTTCATCTTCTGTCCCTGTTCCTCTTCCCTTTTGTCCTTTTATTTACTATTTTTCTATTCCTTTTGCTTCCTCTTTCCTCCTTTCTTCTGTCTCTCCTTCCATCCTTTTATTTCTTCTAGTTATTTAGCATTTTTAGTTGACATGTAGTAAGTATACATACTTATACAGCGTATTTTAAGACATGTATACATTGCATAGGGATCAGATCAGGGTAATTTAGCATTTGTGTTAGAAACATTCAGTGTCTTCTGCCTAGCTATTGTGAAGTATCATCCCTGTTTCTGGGCCTCCTCCCACCTGTCTCTTACCCTGCTTTGTCTTTGTTCTTTAGGATATGTTCCTGATGGCTGCTATGGGCCCTCCTGGAGGTGGACGGACTGTTATTTCCTCAAGGCTACAGAGTCGCTTCAACATTATCAATATGACCTTCCCCACTGTAAGGCTTCAGTGGAAGCTGTGGCATGGGGACCATACAGGGCAAAACCATCCCTGTCCCACAGAATGCTCAAGCCAGGGGCTTAATCAGGGAGTGATGCATTCAGAGAGCTGTGTTTCACATAGAAGTGAGGCCACCTGTAGAAGGTCTTGGCATCTCCTGAACAGGACAGATGCAGGATTTGGAAGTTTGCATGCTGGCTCTAGAATGTGGAGTCTGTGGTCTCCATGGACAGGGACTCTCTGGGACTGAAATAGACTCAGGGAGGCAGAGCCTACAAAGCTAAGAGCTGGAAGCTGTGCGGGATTAGGGAGAGGCGAGTGCACATTTAAGGGAACTCAGAACCGAAATTAAATAAAACACCACTAGGAGAAATAATATACCAGGAGAAATTTTATCTATTTATCTATATCTGTCAATCTGTCTGTCTGTCTATCTATCTATCTATCTATCTATCTATCTATCTATATCTATCTATCTATCTATCTATCTATCTATCTATCTATCTCACACGTGCACATTCTATCATCTATCTGTCTATCTATCTATCTTATCTATCTATCTATCATCTATCTATCTATCATCTATCATCCATCTATCTACCTATCTATATATATATATATTTTTTACTTTTTGAGACAAGGTCTTGTTATGTAGCCCAGGCTGGCTTCAAAACTCATAATCCTTTTACCTCAGCCTCCCAAGTTCTGAGTTTTCATCCATGTACCACCACACTTGGCTCTTACTGCAATATTTTTAAAAATTAAATTAATATAAAATTTCTTGAATAAGATAACAAAATTTTAGATAAATCCAAAATAAGTACAGGGCTGCTGAGCTACAGTGAAACCTGAGATAGAAAAAAAATCAATAGTACTAACATATCTTTGTTTAGAATGTATTTATTCATTATGAATATTGTACATGAATTTTTATTTTTAAGAATTAAAATATTTCTCTTGATTTCCTAGGTTTTTTTTTTTTTGGTCTTTTTGAGACAGAGTCTCCCTGTAGCCCTACCTGGCCTGGAACTCGCTATGTAGACCAGGCTGGCCTTGAACTTAAAGGGATCTGCCTGCCTCTGCTTCCCGAGTGCTGGGGTAAAGGTGTGCACCACTATATCCCCAGGTTTATTTTTTAAGGCCCTTTAAATTCTGCTCATGAGGTGAGCTTTCCATTTGCCACACGCTTGGTCCTGGCCCTGGCTACAAGGCTAAGAGCCTTGGAAAGTGAGTGTGAGGCCTCTTTCTAGGAATCCCAGATCATCCGGATATTTGGCACCATGATCAACCAGAAGCTTCAGGACTTTGAAGAAGAGGTAAAGCCCATTGGGAACGTGGTGACTGAGGCTACCTTGGATGTGTATAATACTGTGGTACAGCGTTTCCTGCCCACACCTGCCAAGATCCATTACCTCTTCAACCTTCGAGACATCTCCAAGGTAAACAGTTATCTGACCTCGTTGCTTTGACCTGGCTCAGCCTCCTTGGAGGCATTTTCTTCTCAAAATTAGCCTCAGAACTCCATAGCAATGTGATGGAGAGACAGCTCAGTGTTAAGAGTGCTTGCTGCTTTTGCAGGGGCCCACACCAGGCAGCTAACAACCACCTGTAACTCTAGCTCTAGGAGATAAGATGCCCTCTTTTGGCCTCTGTGGGCACCTGCGCATGTGCACAGACACACACAAACATAAATAAAAATGCACTCTTCTCTTACCTCCAAATCTCCTGCAAGGAATCTCTTTCCTCCCTCCATCTAGTCATTACTTTGACTTCCCAGGTTTTCCAGGGCATGCTTAGAGCCAACAAGGACTTCCATGATACCAAGTCCAGCATCACGCGACTCTGGATTCATGAATGTTTCAGGTGATGTATATGTGTGTTCTGGCCAGATTCCGATTTCCTCAGTCTTGCCTCCAAACCTACTCTTCACCCACGGTCTGACTTTTCCTTCGCCAGGACTATTCTCCTCCTTAGTCCAAAATTTCTCAATTTCCTAACAGAGTCTTCTCTGACCGACTGGTTGATGCAACGGACATGGAAGCCTTTGTGAACATCTTAAGTGACAAACTCGGCATCTTCTTTGACCTCACATTTCATAATCTCTGTCCCAACAAACGTCCTCCTATCTTTGGTGAGCCAGGAGCCATGATTACTTTGGGCCTTAGGAGGTTGGGGTCAGAAGGGTAAGGTCATGGATTCCTAATGCTAAGGGCTCCAAGGGGAGCTCTGGGGAGGACCAAGCATTGGGAACTCTGATGCCATCTTCTTTGGCCAGGGGACTTTCTGAAGGAGCCAAAGGTCTATGAAGACCTGACAGATCTGACAGTACTGAAGACGACCATGGAGACAGCCCTGAACGAATATAACCTGTCTCCCAGTGTCATACCAATGCAGCTAGTGCTCTTCCGAGAGGCCATTGAACACAGTGAGTGCCTGTTACTCGCAACCACTCCCCTACTACCCCAACCACAGTTTTCCTTCTATGGCCACCCCCAAAGCAGGTTCTAGAAGTTCTTTTCCTTATGGTCCAACATGTTCTTGTGGTAGTGGATAGTATTTTCTTTGTTTACTCATTTTTGTTTTGAGGCAGGGTCTCCCTACGTAGCCCTGACTGGAACTTGCTGTTTAGAGTAAGCCGGTCTTGAACTTGCAGTGATCTCCTTTTTCTGCCCCTCCCTGGGATTACAGGCATGCACTGCTACAACTGCTGACAGTAGAGTTTAATGGACAAGGTGAAGGTTAGATGTTGAATTGCCATCAGAGCCTTGGGCACCAGCCTCTTCCCACTCACTTCTTGACTCCTCTATTTTAGTTTCACAGGTTTTGATTCCTAGCTTAGGGCCTGGAAATTTGTTCAATTTTCTCATCTAGTTCATTTCCCTCACCCACTCCCCAGTCACAAGGATTGTGCGGGTAATCGGACAGCCTCGAGGCAACATGCTCTTGGTGGGCATTGGGGGCAGTGGACGGCAGAGTCTGGCTCGATTGGCCTCTTCCATCTGCGAATACAACACATTCCAGATTGAGGTCACCAAACACTATAGGAAACAGGAGTTCCGAGATGGTATGGCTGGGTTTCTGAATCCAAAGAGGGTTGAGTTCTTAGAATAAAGATGAGATGCTTGAGTTCCTGCCATACCAAGAGGGGAGAGAGGGAAGCCAGGTGGTGAGATGCCCCTGGCCTTTGTGTGTTGAGTACAGGATGGTGGTGTGGGTGTGATGTGGGTTGGAGGAGGGCCCTGAAGCTCACAAAAGTACGATGGGGAGTCTGAAGGAAGTCTGTCCTTTTATCCTTCCCTTGTCTGCCAGATATCAAGCGTCTGTATCGCCAGGCAGGAGTAGATCTCAAGACCACATCCTTCCTTTTTGTGGATACCCAAATTGCTGATGAATCCTTCCTAGAGGACATTAACAACATCCTTAGCTCAGGCGAAGTCCCCAATCTCTACAAGTCGGACGAATTTGAAGAGGTATAATTCCTTCTGTACGTGCTTGCTGCTAAGTTGGCCTTCCTAATGAAGCTCTGAAAGCCCCTAGATTCCAGGATATTTCTGTAGCACCCCCACCATCCAGATCACTCCCTGTGAGTCTGAAAGCTTTCCAATCTCCCAGCCATCCTCCCAGAGGCTCCACTGGGCAGGGTTGCTTTAAATCCCACAGCAGTCTGCCAGCCTAACCTGCTGTCTGACTGATACTGCTGTGGGAACCTCAGTCTCTGATTCCATGTGGCTTCTATTCAGATCCAGAGCCAAATCATAGAGCAGGCACGGGCGGAGCAGGTGCCAGAATCTTCGGACAGCCTCTCCGCCTATTTCATTGAGCGTGTTCGGAACAACCTGCACATTGTGCTCTGCCTCAGTCCCGTGGGGGACCCCTTTAGGTGACTTTTTTTATGTTCTCCTTATGGGCCTCTTCTCTTTTGTTCTTCTGTAATTTTTGGAATTTCGGGTCTCCCACATGGCTCCTTCTGTCTCCTTTGCATAGTGTATGCCTTCCTTCAGGAAATCCTCTTGGCTGACATGGTAGTCATCCATCCCTTTCTGTATGATGTTTTTTTTTCTTATGGCTGGTGATCTTATTTTATTGTTTCTTTTCTTTCTTTCCTTCCTTTCTCTCTTTCTCTCTTTCTTTCTTTCTTTTTCTTTCTTTCTTTTTCTTTCTTTCTTTCTTTCTTTCTTTCTTTCTTTCTTTCTTTCTTTCTTTCTTTCTTTCTTTCTTTCTTTCTTTCTTTCTTTCTTTCTTTCTTTCTTTCTTTCTTGTTTTGTTTGTTTTTGAGACAGAATCTTATTATGTAGCTCTAGCTGGTTTAGAACTTGCTATATAGTGCAGGTTGGCCGAGTGCTGGGAATAAAAGTGTGTATCACCATACCCAGCATTGCTTCTCTCTCTCTCTCTCTCTCTCTCTCTCTCTCTCTCTCTCTCTTTCTCCATGTTTGTGTGTGTTCATGTGTGTGTTTGGTCATGCACAGGTCATAGCACATGTATGGCCCACTGAGTCATCTCACTGGCCCTCTTTTGAATCATTTTTGGGTATATACAGTTCAGCAGTGTTAAGTATATCCACATTGTCCAGCAATACATTTCTAGAATCTTTTCATTTTCTTTATCGAAACTCTTTACCCATAAAACAATAATTCTCCCTTCCTCCAGCTTCTGGCAGCTGTCACTCTACTTTCTGAGTCTGTGAGTTTTACGACTTGAGATAACTTCATACAGGTGGAATGGTGCAATATTTGTCCTTTTGTGACTTCTTTATTCTGTAATGTCCTCAAGGTTCATTCATGTTATAGCATATGACAGGATTTCCTCCTTTTTTTTAAAAGAATGAATAGAATTTCACAATATGTATACATCAAAATTTCTTTATCAATTTTTAGCATGACTAGATTTTTCAGAGCAATCAAAAACTAGGAGGAAGAGCCAGGCGTGGTAGCACATGCCTTTAATTCCAGCATCCAGGAGGCGGAGGCAGGAGGATCTCTGTGAGTTTGAGGCCAGACTGGTCTACTTAGTGAGTTTCAGGACAGCTAGTGCTACAGGGAGACCCTGTCTCAAAAAAAACAAAAACAAAACACAAAACCAAACAAAGTAGGAGGAAGAAGTTGGGTGTGATGTGTGCACCTGTAGTCTCAGAACTTGGAAGGCTGAAGCAGGGGGACTGCTGCCTGGGCTACAAGCAAGTACTAGGCCAGCCAACAGCTACATGTAAAAAAATCAACCCTGTATCAAAAAATAAATCACGCCAAAACAACCTAGGAGGAGGACAGAGCACCTGTATGGAGAGGCAATTTGGGTCACCATTTTGCTTCTGCTTTTAATTTATGGTATATGTTGTATTAACATGGGCTGGGTGCTATGCTAAGCATTCTTCATGGGTCACCTCACTGAATTCCTAACAACCCTAGTTATATTGTTATTTCCTTCTAGTGATAAGGAAACTGGTGTTTAAATAGGTTAGATGATTGCCCAAGAATCACAACTGGAAAGTGTGGATCTGGGCATTTTTGATCTGAGACCTTGGTTCTAAATGCTATGCTGAACTAGCTCAGAGGGACTGAATCTATGAGAGAGATAGACTAAGGAGGATGGGGCCTCTAGGTTCCTAGAAAGCAGGCAGACATGTGTAATGCAGCTAGGAGCATCTGTAGGTAGACTTACTGCCCTTTAAAATTCTTTCCTAGGAACTGGATCCGCCAGTACCCAGCCCTGGTGAACTGCACAACTATCAACTGGTTCTCAGAGTGGCCCCGAGAGGCCTTGCTAGAGGTGGCTGAGAAGTATCTCATGGGAGTGGATTTGGGGGCACAGGAGAATGTGAGCCCCTCCTCCCCATTCTTCAGCACACTTGTGCTTCCCTCCCATTCCTTTATCCATCTCCTGTGTCTTCCATCCTGTATTGTTGGCTTCAGATCCACAGGAAAGTGGCCCAGATCTTCGTTACCATGCACTGGTCCGTGGCTCAGTACTCCCAGAAGATGTTATTGGAAATGCGAAGACACAACTATGTCACACCCACAAACTACCTGGAGCTCGTGTGTGGATATAAAAAGTATGAAGAAGAGCAGGGGACATGGAGGGAGTTGGTGATTTTGAAGGTGTTGATTGGTAAAATGATGTCCTGGAAAATATCCAGGAGCTGGCCAAGGGGGTGGGCTGGAGGATGTGGGTATTAAGGTGGGATGGCAGAGACACAAAGGGTCTTAGCTCTACCTTGGAAGGCTGAGGAACAGAACTCTCATTGGGAGGTCCTTTTCTAGAGCCCCGCCCCCCCAGTCATGTTCCCTAGGCTCCAACACTTCCTTATACCTCTCTGTCCTTGTTTTCTGGGTCAATGTTTATCTTTTTCAGACCATAATTCACCTAGGACTTGGCCTTAATATGTGTAATCCTTTCTTCTGCCTCTCATATCCCTTAGACTTGCCATTTGTATGAAATAGAAGAAATTTGGTGTGTATGGTAGCACATGTCTATAAATTCCCAGGACTAGGAAGGCTGAAATAGGATTATAAATTCAAGACCAGTCTGGCCTACATACCAGGACCTTGTCAAAGAAAAGAAGCAAGCAGGGCCAGAGATGTAACTCTGTCCATGCCTGCCTAGTATACAGAAAGCCCTGGGTTTGATCCCCTCTTACCACATAAACTGGGCAATGGTGACAATGGCTGTAATCTTAGAACTTGAGAGGTGGAGGCAGGAGTTCAAGGCCAGGGTTATATAAAATCTGTCTCAAAATAAAACAAAAAAACAAGCAGTTCAAGCAAGCCAAAAAAAAAAAAAAAAACCCAAACAAAAAACTGAAGTGTTTTTCTTTCTCTCACATTCAACTCAGTACTTCATTTCGAGTGTTAGATGCATGGGTGGTTTTCCCCAAACAGCAAGCAGCTCCCCAACAATGACTGTGCATTCTACAGCTTAGCTTGATCCTACCATCTACCAGACTTAATGAGAGAGTGGTGGGGCTTCCATTGAGAGGGCTTCTTCTAGAGTCCTCTGGTCATGTTTCCTAGGCTATATCAAACCCCACAAGTAGAGGGATCAGTCTCCACTTCAGATTTAGGTACCAAGCCCCAGGCTATTTTACCTGTGCTTCTGACTGCTCCTCAACTTAGAAAATTTGCTAAGTGGTTCATAGAACACAGGGAAACATTATTGCTGGTTTATTATAAAGGATATTTTATCTTATTTGACTTTTTTTTTTTGAGACAGAGTCTCACTATATAACCTTAGCTGGTCTGGAACTCACTATGAAGACCAGGCTAGCCTCGAACTCAGAGATCCACCTGCCTCTGTCTCCTGAGGGTTGGAGTTAAATGCCTTATTTGGCTTTTCTTGAGATACTGTCTTACACTTGTAGCCTAGACTGGTCTTAAACTTACTATGTAGCTCAGACTAGCCTTAAATTCATAGCAGTCCTTCTTCCTCAGCCTCCCTCATGCTGGGGTCACAAGCATGACCCACTATCACTAGCCAGATTCAGTATTTTAATCAAGGTTAAAAAAAGCCACTTATAATGATAGTCAATATTGATTCACCTCCTTTGCCATGTATTTTAAAGCATCTACTATGTGTGCTAGGCACTGTTTTAGATACTTATACTATACCAGTGAGTCCTGCCTTCCTAGCACACAGCCCAATATTCTTTGCCTTGTGTTTATTTATTTATTTATTTATTTATTTTTATTTTATGTGTATGTGTGTATTGCCTATATGTAGGTTGTGTCATGCAGTGCCCACGGAGGTCAGAAGAGGCTGTCAGATCCCCTGGGACTGGAGTTACGGATAGTTGTTAGCTGCCATGTGGGTGCTTGGATTTGAACCTGGGTCTTCTACAAGAACAATCAGTGTTCTTAACCACTGAGCCATCTCTCCAGCCTCTGCCTTGTGTTTTCTATTTGACAGTCATTTTGATAAACTCTTTGTGGGTCTAGGAAACACCCACATAGTTCTTAGCCTGTAGAATGTGTAAGACTTTTTGAATGAGTTGCCTACATTTAAAACTTGAAAGCTCTAGAAAACCCCAAATTTCTAGCTTCTCTTTAAACAATGGGAATGTGGCAAGACTGGGTTCCCATTAATTCCTACAAAGAGAAACAGGTTAGAGTAAGGGTCTCCTGCTCCCCTTTGGGTGGGTTTATGTTTATAGCTCACCTGCCTCCTGTGCAGTGCAGGCAGTGGAAGAGTCCCAGGTAGAGGAAGTGATGTGGCGACATAGTGTCTAACAAGCTGACTTTGATAGTGGTACATAGAATAAGTCAGGGCACAAGAAGACTAGGGTGTGTGTGTGTGTGTGTGTGTGTGTGTGTGTGTGTGTGTGTGTATTAAGCTATATGTGTGTATGTGAGGGCAAGAAATGGCAACCAAAAAGTGATGGAGACCCATGAGGAAGGAAGACAATGCAGGGCCTCTCCTTCCTAGGAGTCTCTCCATATATGCAGCTTACCCAAAGCTCCCTGCAGGCTTCTGGGAGAGAAACGTCAGGAGCTGCTGGACCAAGCCAATAAATTGCGGACTGGATTGTTTAAGATTGACGAAACAAGGGAAAAAGTACAAGTGATGTCGTTGGAGCTGGAGGATGCCAAGAGGAAGGTGGCTGAGTTCCAGAAGCAGTGTGACGAGTATCTGGTCATCATCGTACAACAGAAGCGGGAGGCAGATGAGCAGCAGAAGGTCACTGGTCCTCCCCTTATGCCCCACTCCTCCAGGGTCCTCAGGACAAGCCTTCCTGGGCCCCATCAGTGACTGCACCAGAGAACCCACCACTCCTCACTTCTTGAATTTCTTCTTTATGTGTCTCACCAATCCCATCACTCTCACCTTTGCCCAAGGCAAAGACAAAACCCTGTTTTTTCATTTCTAGGCAGTCACAGCCAATAGTGAGAACATTGCTATTGAGGAAATCAAGTGTCAGGCACTGGCTGACAATGCCCAGAAGGATCTAGAGGAGGCGTTGCCCGCCCTTGAAGAAGCCATGCGGGTACCAGAGGCTGGCACCAGGATGGTGCCAGGAGTGGGAATGGGACTGGTCTTCTTTGCTCTCAGCGTCCCTGGGGAGGTGGGGAAAGAGCTGGTACATCAGTTGGCCTGGTGCTATCTTGCTATCTGCATCAACTCTGGTCCAGCTCACTGAGTTAATTCCTTTTCACAGGCCCTAGAGTCTTTGAACAAGAAGGACATAGGGGAGATCAAATCTTATGGACGACCCCCTGCTCAGGTGGAGATGGTAATGCAGGCAGTCATGATCCTTCGGGGCAATGAGCCCACATGGGCAGAGGCAAAACGGCAGCTAGGTAAGTTGAGAATGTTGAGATAAATGACAATCATTTTTCCAGTATTGATGAAGTGGCAGCATGAGACCCTCTGAGAATGCAGAATTGCAGAGACCCCCGAGAGCATGGAGCTTAGGAGGAAAGAGAAGATTTAAGATTAGGATCAGAATTAGGATTCTTTAGTTGTAAGCAACAAAAATTGGCTTCTCTTACTAAGCAAAAGAAAATTGTTGTGAAGCTGTCAGAAGGTATTGTAAGGACAGGAACGCCTTCAGGCTCCAAACAGACAAGGTGAGAAAATGAGAAAAAGAACTCTTCATTTCTTTTTTCTGTCTTTCTTTTTGTATGTATAGATGCAGATGCAGGTGCATTCCTATGTGTGTGTGTGTGTGTGTGTGTGTGTGTGTGTGTGTATGTGTGTGTGTGCATGTGTGTGTAGGCTAAAAGTCAACCCTGGGTATTATTCCCCAGAAGTCATCCATCTGTTTTTGTTTTTTAGGCAGGGTCTCTGATTGGGAGATGGGGCTCATTTACTAGGCTAGGCTGGCTGACCAGTGAGCCCTTGGGATCTTCCTATCTCTACCTCCCTAGCACTGGGATTACAAGTGGTTGCTGCCATGCCTGGCTTTTTATGGAAGTGTTAGAGGGTGAACTCCGGTCTTCATGCCTCTGTTGCAAACACTGTACTGACTGCACTCTCTCTGTCCAGCCTCACTCAGGACTCTCTTTTCATTCTGAGACTTTTCTCTGCTTTGGGTTCCCATGGTAGGATGTAGTCTGCCAATGTCATTTGGTAACCTCTGCCCTGGAAGAAAGTGCAAAGCACATAGAAAGAAGGCTGGGTTGGGTGGTTAAACTGAGTTTGTTCAGGGACAGTAGTGGGAAATCAGGCTGCAGAGATTATGGAGGTCCTGGGCCTGAGAGGATGCCAGAGAAGGGAGCAAGGTCAGAAGGGGATCAAGAGCCCAAGTCAAATATCTTGGTGCTGGGAACTGAACTCAGGAAAGTCTACAAGCAGTAGCAGTAAAGCTGGACAAAGAGGATAGGATTCCAAAATGTCATTTCACAGGGGAGCAGAACTTCATCAAGTCACTGATCTATTTTGATAAAGACAATATCTCAGATAAGGTGCTGAAGAAGATTGGGGCCTACTGTGCCCAGCCTGACTTCCAGCCTGATATCATTGGCCGAGTCTCCCTGGCGGCCAAGTCCCTCTGCATGTGGGTGCGGGCCATGGAGGTAAGTGGTGGCAAAGATGAGTGGGAACAGAGAGGGGAGGCCTGGAGGAGCTGAGGGATGGCAGACCCACGTGGGAAGGAAGGTTCCTGGGCTGATGGTTGGGGGACAGCCCCTGCAGCTTAGCTGTCGTCCCACAGCTGTTTGGGCGACTGTATCGCATGGTAGAGCCCAAGCGGATCCGAATGAATGCCACCATGGTCCAGCTCCAGGAGAAGCAAGCAGCCCTAGCTGAGGCCCAGGAAAAGCTGCGAGAGGTGAGCCTTACTCTGGTCTTTCCTGCGACCATCCCTCTCTCTGATGTTTTGGACTCTTTGTTACTGTTTCTTTCATCTAATTCCACTTTGTTCTCTGGTGTCCTACATCCCACTCTGTCTCACTTTTGCTCTTTTTTTTTTTTCTTTTTCTTTTTGGTCTTTTTGAGACAGGGTCTCCCTGTAGCCCCAGCTGACCTGGATTCGCTATGGAGACCAGGCTGGCCTTGAACTCACAGAGATCTGCCTGCCTCTGCCTCCCCAGTGCTGGGATTAAAGGCGTGTACCACCATGCCCGGCGCTTTTGCTCTTTGTCCTGTCTAGAGATGCCTGACTTCAGGCCAGAAAGCTTCTGCGACTATATAGGGTTGAAAAGACTCCTAGGGCATTGTCACCTTAGGGGATCACATGGCACTGTCACCCAGGAGACCTTCAAGAGAATGTCTTAGAGTTGGCCACCTCTGTTGTAGCCTTTAGAATTAGGCTCTGAATTGTTGACTGATGGAATGTGGGTAGCAAGTCAGTTTTTGCCAGAGGAATGGGTCAATAGGGTCAGTATGGCATCTGTGGGCTTGAACAACAGGAGGGTATCTGTAGTTGGGTGGCATGGGGTGGGGCCCTTCTAGAAGCCAAGGGGATTAGTTACTGTGAGCACTACCGACAAGTGACTTCCTACCAGGTGTATGTATAGATGACTCTCAAACCATGCAGGATGTTGTCAAGTGCTGTTATCAAAAGAATTCAGAATTCTTCCAATCTATCATTTGATTTTTTTATCATTCTTTAATAGATAATATAACTACAGCCCCAAGATAATATAGTCACATGGTCTGAAATCCAAAATGTACAAAAGAATATCCAGTAAAGAGTGTTCTTTCAACTTTCTGCTCTGTAGCAGCCAGCCTTCCCTCCATGGAAGCAGCCAAACTTTACAAAATCTTGCTCATTACACACACACACACACACACACACACACACACACAGTATTTTATGTTACACATACTGGTGTTACTTCCTTATTTACCTGTGAACTGGAGATTATTCCATAGCAGCATCAGGAAGTTTCTGTTTCTTTTTACTGATGTATGATATTCTAGAGACATTTACCACCACCCCTCTTTGATGGACATATTCCTTGTTTTCAATCTTTTGATCTTCTTGGTCCTTTAATTTTACTTTGTTTTGTTTTTTTGAGGCAGGCTATCACCATGTAGCCCTGGATGTCCTAGAACTCACTATGTAGACCAGGCTGGCCTTGAACTCATAGAGATCCACCTACATCTGCCTCCCAAGTGCTGGTATTAAAGGCGTGTGCCACCATGCCCAGCTTGTCCTCTTAATTTTGTTGATTCTATATTTATATAGTCATTTAAAAATATTATATAATTGAATCTGGTTATACAATTTCAAAATCTCTCACCTAAACCAATATAGGAGATATCCAGACCAGTTTCAACTTTTTCAAATTAGAAGAGCCACAGATGTGACTCTCTATAGCTGGTTATAGAGCTGGTTGCCATGTTTCTGATTCCACGCAGTGCTACCTGTAGCTTGTCTTGGTCTTCTCCTGCTGCACTCACTTTTACTGTTCGAACCAGAGCCACCCTTGAGGTCTCTTACAGTTCTGTAAGTGCAGAAAACCCCTCCAGGCTGGGTGAATAGGTTTCCATCTCCTCCATCACTCCATTCTGTAACCATAGCCACCTCCCAATGCTCATGAAACCTTCACCCTTACTCTCTTTTTCAAGGTGAGGCAATCCATTTGGAAAGGTTTTTCTCCCAGATGAGTCATATTCTGGGCCAAGTAATTAAAAGTTGTTTCCTTTACATTTAAAAATTGGAACCTCAGGAGTGTGCTGCCAACTCATTCCTTGGACAAACACTTGTAAAAGCTTAAAATGTTAGGTCTTTTGGTATATAATCCACATGTACATGAAAACCCTTAATTTATAAAAGTAATCAGACAGGAGAGCTGGGTGCAATGACATCTGAGGCAGGAAGATTCTTAGGTCACAGAGATTCAAGGCCAATCTGGATAACACAGAGAGAGCTGTCTCAAAAAACAAAAGATTAGGGGCTGGAGAGATGGCTCATTGATTAAGAATACTGGCTGCTCTTGCAGAGGAACTGGGTTCGGTTCCCAGCACCCACATGGCAGATAACAACCATCTGTAACTTCCAGTTCCAGGGGAATTGGTACCCTCTTCTGATCTTGCAGGCATTGAATGACAGGGGTGCACTTACATACATGCAGGCAATACATCCATACACATAAAATAAAAATAATAAATAAAATATAAAAACAAAACAAAGCTGGGCATGGTGGCGCATGCCTTTAGTCCCAGAGGCAGAGGCAGGTAGATGGATCTCTGTGAGATCAAGGCCAGCCTGGTCTACATAGTGACAAATAGGGTTGATCAGGAGAAAGCAGAGTTTATTAGCAAAGGAACACATGGGACAAATTCCCTTCCGGGCAGGGAAAATGTCTGCCCTGGGTCATGAGCTGGGGTCTTATAGGGGGGAGGCTTCTGCTTCCTGCAGAAGGCGGGAAGATGTATTTTTTTTAAAGTTGGGGCGGGGAGCAGAACTGTTAAAACCTGTTCTCTTTAGAGAAGGGGAGGCCTGCTGTGTTGGCCAAACTGGAGAAAAGTCTGCTTCTCTTGACTTCAAAGACCAAGGTTCTTACCAGCTCAGTTCCCTTTTCTCAGGAGCTTGATTAAACAGATAAGGAACCAAGATTTCTCGCTTGTTATTGATGTGACTTTTAAGAGCCAAATGCATATTTTATTTGTTTTGTTCATTGAGGCAAGGTCTCTTGTAACCCAGGTTAGCTTTGAACTTCCTTTGTAGCCAAGGAGGACCCTGAACTTTCATGATTCTCCTGCCTCCAACTCCCAAGTACTGAAATTATAGGTGCGTACCATCATGTCTGGTTTATTTGGTGCTGGGGATCCAACCAAAGGCTTTGTGTATGCTAGCACTCTACCAACTGAGCTGTATTCCCATATATATATATATATCCCTTTTAAATATTTTTATTTTGATAGGGTCTCAATTAAATTGCCCAGGCTGGCCTTGAATTCACGGTGTAATCCTGGTAGACCTTGAACTTATGATGCTCCTACCTCTATCTCTCAAGTAGCTCAGATTATAGGCCTGCACCACTAAGCTCAGCTGGAGCTGCTGCTTTTTATAAATATATATGTGTGTGTGTGTGTGTGTGTGTGTGTGTGTGTGTGTGTGTGTGTATGAGTGTGGAGGTCAGAGGACAGCTCACAGGAGTTGCTTTTCTCCTTCCATCCTATGGTTTCAAGGATTAAACTCAGGTTGTCAGGCTTGATTGCAAGTTTTTAAAACAAATTGGTTTTCCTGGGACTGGAGAGATAGCTCGGTGACTAAGAGCATTGGCTGCTCATGCAAAAGACCAAGGTTTGAATCCCAGCATCCACAAGGTGGCTAACAACTGGCAATAGCACCAGTTCCAGGTGATCGGAGACCCTCTTCTGTCCTCCAAGAGCATTGCACAAAATGGGTGCATTTTTACACATGCAGGCATAACATTCATGCAATAAAAAAATAATAATTAAAAAATGATTAATTTTCCTAAACTATGGGTTAAGATATAGTTCCTTGAAGGCCTAAAAGGTCGTAGTTCAGAATCAAGTCTCTCAATGAGCATAATTTTTTAACTATTTATTGACTGATTGAATGACTGATTGATTGGCCTGTTGTCTATGCATGAAGATATAGTTCTTTGAAGGCCTAAAAGGTCATAGTTCAGAATCAAGTCTCTCAGTGAGCATAATTTTTTAACTATTGATTGATTGAATGACTGATTGATTGGCCTATGTGTCTATGCATGAAGATATAGTTCCATGAAGGCCTAAAAGGTTGTAGTTCAGAATCAAGTCTCTCAATGAACATAGTTTTTAAACTATTTACTAATTGATTGAATGACTGATTGGTTGGCCTATGTATCTGTGCATGGATATGCATATGTTCACAGGTTATGGAGCTGGTGTGGGGTCATATGAGAGTCAGTTCTCTCCTCGCACCAGTGGGTCCTGGGGATTGAACTCAGGTCTTCAGGATTGGCAGCAAGTGCCTTTACCCAGTGTATCATCACACCAGCCCAGTGAGCATCAATTTAAAAATAAAAAAGAAATGCTGGGCGTGGTAGTGCAAGCCTTTAATCCCAGCACTCGGGAGGCAGAGGTAGGCAGATCTCTGTGAGTTCAAGGCCAGCCTGCATAGTGAGTTCCAGGCCAGCTGGGGCTACAGGGAGACCCTGTCTCAAAAAGACCAAAAATAGATAAATAAATAAATAAATAAATAAATAAACAAACAAATAAATAAATAAAAAGGGGTCTGGAGAGATGACTTGGCAGTTAAGAGCACTTGGCTACTTTTTCAGAGGACCTGAGTTCGGTTTTCAGCACTGACATGACAGCATACAACTGTCTGTAACTCCAGTTCCAGGGGATCCCAGTGTCTTCTTCTGGCCTCCAAGGGCATTGTACACACAAAGTCACAAACAACAGACAACAGATGCACACACGCACACACACACACACACACATTAAAATAAAGACAATTTTTAAAAAATAATTTAAGCCGGGCCTGGTGGCGCACGCCTTTAATCCCAGCACTCAGGAGGCAGAGGCAGGTGGATCCTCTGTGAGTTCGAGGCCAGCCTGGTCTACATAGTGAGTTCCAGGACAGCTGGGGCTATAAGGAGACCCTGTCTCAAAAAAGACAAAATAATAATAATAATAATAATAATAATAACAGTACTAATTTAAAAATATAAGCATTTGGTAAGGCATATGCATTTAAGATGAAATTATGCTCTCCCAAAACAGTTACAATCATTGGCAAAGATCATAGTAGAAAATCAAGAGTGGGGATGAGGATGCCTGGAGAAAAGCTTAGATTTAGCTTTACCAAAATTTCAGTTGTTTGGAAACTGTGACCTGGGAATTTAAATTTAACTGAGAGAAGTCTCCATCAGTAGATTACTATAAGAGATTCAATCTAAGCAATGAGCATTTGTCAAATTAGGGGTGTGGGAAATATACATATTCATTTTGAAAGGGAGTGTATCGTGATTTTTTTAAACCAATAAATTTTACCATCTTAAACAATACGTTGTCTTAAAGTGGCATGAAGTGCCTTCACTATGTTGTATAATGCCATCACCATGTAGTTCCAGAGGTTTTTATTGCTTCAGATGAAAAAAAACTCTGCTATATCCTTTTAATTTCTTTTTTTTTTCCCTTGAGCTCTAGGTTCCCTGTCCTGTACTGTGATCCAGGCCACAGCGGCTATTATGCTGCCTCTCCGTATGGAAACTAAAGACTATGAAGATTGCCTCATAGGGAAAGTTCTGCCTCCTCCCATTCCTTCCTACCCCTTTTTTATGAAACTCAGTCTCCTGTAGCCCTACCTGGCCTGGAACTTGCTGTGTAGACCAGGCTGGACTTGAACTCACAGAGATCTGCCTGTCTCTGCCCCTTGAGTGCCAAGATTAAAGGCATGTACCACCATGCCCTGCTTCAGCTTCACCCCCTTTTTGAGACAGGCTCTTTATAAACCAGGCTGGCCTGAAACTCTCTATATAGTCTAGGCTGACCTGGAACTTGTGGTCATCCTGCCTCAGCCACTTAAGTGCTAGGGTTACTGGCCCATATTACCATGCTTGGTTTCACATCTTTATTTTAACTGGAAAATGACTTTCAACAGATTCCTGAATGGAAGTTGCTGTTGGTGCCACTGAAGTCAATATTCAGTGTTCTTGTGGAAAGAGAGCAAGTCATGACTCCTCCACATTTGTATCCTTAAGTTGCTTAGGTTTGTTGCCTTGCAGCACAGATCATAGCAGCAGGCCATCCTACACTAACATCTTGAATGTCAGCCCTTCAAAGTAGAAAACCTCCTGTCTGTAAGTTTGTGGATAAGATAAAGGGCATTAAGGATTTTTACCGCAACTACCTCCTTAGCCCCAAATTTAAACCAAATAATGATAAGAATAGGAGGTAGGAATTCGCTACACAGTTAGGGTAAAGAGACCCCAAAGAAAAGTAGTCAGTTTCTTGGCTAAAAGTCAAAATGTCCTTGGGCCTCTTAGCAACATATTCTGTTCCAAAGGCCAAAAATGTCAAAAGTATTTGGGAGCTTTTATCTAATCACTAAAAGATTTTAGGGTTACCTCTTCAGAGGGAGGAATGTTAGAGCAGCAAAAAGCCCCATTTAAAAAAAAGAAAAGAGTACATGAAGTTGTCAGAAAATAGTGATGGGGAGAGATGGGAGGAGCTGGAGGGGAGGGAGTGGGTGTGGATTTGATCAAAACACCTTATATGCATGTATGAAATTCTCAACTTTTTTTAAAGTTAAAAAAAACCTAAATAATGGGACAGTTGATCTAGTACTGTCTAAACCTGGAAGCAACTACTTAAAGGTAGAATTTGTAGTATATTAAAGCAAAACAAAAACCCCAATCAACTGCATTGCAGTTTAAAAACCAACTAATCTAAGTTTTTGTTCATCAGCATCTAAAAGCAACCTAATCCTATTTCAGCTTCTTAGGCCAGACTGCTTCTAGGTTATTAGCTCTAGTAGCCCTTATCCCAAGACCTCCTGCCTCATAGTTAAGGTCCATGTCTTTCCTTTGGCCAGGGTGAATGGTCCAAGGCCAGTTTCCTTGAAGCTGCTCTGTTTCAAACTGAGCTGCCTCTGTAGAAGCAGACTGGGACAAAGAGCAAATCCCTTGCTAAGATCAGAGTGTAGTTGCTTAAAGCCCTTCCTCCAGGCTATAGGGGTGGGGTATGTTTGGTCAAAAGGTCAAAACCTGTAAATCACTGTGGGGATTCCTTTTAGGGCAATGAGAAGTACTGGAAGAACAATGGTGGCGATGGCTGAATAACATGTGGAGTACTTGACACCATTGGTGGTGATGGTTGTATAGCATGTGAGGGACTTGACACCATTGACCTGTACAATTCAAGACAGTCACAGTGGTTTAAACCACCATAAACCCCTGTCCAAGAAAGTAGTTGGGGGACTGGAGAGATGGCTCAGCACTTAAGAGAGCTTGTTGCTCTTGCAGAGGATCTGAGTTCCATTCCCAGCACCTATATAGGGTGCTCACAATCACTTGTAACTCACTCCAAGGAATCCAAGGCCACCTTCTGGCACCTTTGGGTTACTTCCTCACATGTGGCATACACATAACACAGACACACACCTACACATAAATGAAAATAAAAAACAAATTTTTAAAATAATATTTTATTATTTTATGTGTATGCTTGTATTGCCTGCATGTAGGTAAGTACATCCATGTTGTGCAAAGCCCGCGGAGGACAGAAGAGGCTGTTAGATCCCCTGGAACTGGAATTACAGATAGTTGTTAGCTGCTATGTGGGTTGTAGGATTCAAACCTGGGTCTTCTGCAAGAACAGTCAGTGTTCTTAACTGCTGAGCCATCTCTCCAGCCCCCAAAACAAATCTTTTTTAAGATAACTACTTGGAGGATGTGACTGACGCCTGCAGGTGAGCAGCCTCACCAGCAGAGACCTCACCTGTAAATGATGTTGCCCAGTCTTAGGCACTGGGCCGTACAGGCCTTTCACACAGAGAAAAAGACTAGGGGTGGGGATTTCTTTCTTCTATGGTTCTGGGGACCAAATTCAGGGCCTCAAACATACAAGGCAAGTGCTCTACCACTGAGCTATACCTGATCCCTGAGGGAGGTTTTAATATTATCAAAATACAGAAAAGTAGGACGGTACAGTCAATGAATGTGGAATAAAAGTGTCATGAGAGATGTGAGAGAGACAGTTCAACTAATGATTATTTCTGGGGAAAAAAAGCGCATAATCTAGGGAGATAAAAACATTTAACAACCAGTACAGCTTGTGAACGTTCTATTGAAATGCACCTAGTTCTGAAGCAACTGGACCAGGCACTATGGTGCTCCCTGCCTGGACATCTCCTCAAGCCATGATAACGTCTTGCTTCTTTTGATGTGGGGCTTTTATAACCAGCCTCTGGACACGGCCTGGTGGCCTAATCTAGGCTTCTGAATGGAAATGTTACCAACCTTGACAATGTAAAAATGAGAGGTCAACTGAAAAAGTTGCTTACAGGAGTTGGTGAGGGAAAGACCAGGCAATGATTCTGTGCAGATAGAATAACTGAGTTGTTTGCTGCTGCTGCTGCTGCTGCTGCTGCTGCTGCTGCTGCTTTTTTTGTGGTCCTGGGAATTATGTGTGCTAGGCATGCATTTTGCAGTTATTCTCCCAGGCCCATAAACTGAGGTGCTAATATATTATTTAATGTGGTAATGGGAACCAGTAAAACTATAGTTATTAGTAAATAGGAATTGTGGTATGGAGGTATAAGGGAGTTAAATCTTCATAGCACAGAGTCAATAAAAATGATCTGAAATTGACACATAAGAAAACAACAGTTATACTTGTACATGCATAGAAATACTTCTGGAAAGAGATCCAAGGAACAGTTAATACTGGCTGCCTCTAAAGAAGGAACTGAACAAGTAGAAGGTAGGGATAGGGCTTGGAGGAAGTCTCTTCATGAGTCATATTTTTATGCCTTTTGAAATTTTAAGTTCCTATTCATGGAGTAAATAAAATGAAAAGAAAAAAGACACAGTGTATAAAGGTGTATTTACACATGCACAAAGACATTCATTACCGTGTAGTCAATAATAGCAAATGGGTGGAAAAGCACAAAGGTCTATTCATAGGAGATTTGTTAGATAAATTATTGTTCAACCACAATAAACAATGATTATTCTGTAGCTGTTGGAAAGGATGAGGCATAGGCTTGGGATATAGTTCAGAGTTTGTTCTTAACATGTACAAGGCCCCTGGGTTCAATCCCCAGCACTGCAAAATGAAAGAAAAATCATTTCAAAAACATGTATGAGCCAAGCATTATGGCACATGCTTGCAATCTCAGCACTTGGGAGGCTAAAACAGGAGAACTACTGAGCCTTCTAGGCTCACCCTGGGCTGCACAGTGAGTTCCAAACTCAGCTGAGATACATAGCAAGGCTCTGTCTCAAAAAAATAGCCAATGAAAAATTGGACTGTTGGGCATTATTCTAGGTCTAAGGATATGGTGGTGAACAGGCCCTTCACCTTACAATGGTTATATTTTTGCCTCAAAGAGATTAGTGTGTGTGTGTGTGTGTGTGTGTGTGTGTGTTCTATCTCCTCTGCCATACAATCCCCCACTCAATTTCATGTACTTTATTGTGTGTGTGTGTGTGTGTGTGTGTGTGTGTGTGTGTAAAGCATCTGGAAGTCAGAAGAGAACTTTCTACTTTGATGAAGCAGGGTCTTCTGCTGTTTCTGATGCTCTGCATACTTCAGGTTACCTGGCTTGTGAGTTTCTGGGTGATTCTCCTGTTTCCACTTCCCATCTTGCCAGTGGAAGTGCTAGGATTACAGATGTGCACTTCCACATCTGGTTTTCTGTGGGTTTGGAGGACTGACTCAAGTCGTCGGGCTTGTACAACAAGCACTTGTACCAGGAGAGCCATCTCACTGGCCCTTGAAGAGATTAATTTACCCAAGAGGCAGCGACCAAGTGGCAAAGTCAGGATTTGACCCAGAACAATTTGTCCTCCAGACCTGCATGTTCCACCCTGCCTCCCATGCACTGATTCCTCCTAGGTGGCAGAGAAATTGGAGATGCTGAAGAAACAGTATGATGAGAAGCTGGCACAGAAGGAAGAACTTCGCAAGAAGTCTGAAGAGATGGAGCTGAAGCTGGAGCGGGCAGGGATGCTGGTGTCTGGGCTGGCTGGTGAGAAGGCCCGTTGGGAAGAGACTGTACAGGTGAGATGGGTTACAGCTGTGGCTCCTCTTCCGCAGCCCACCTGATTCAAGAGGTCCATCTCCTTCCCACTGAAAACAATGACACCTGGGTTCAGCAAATTCAAGAATGGGAGGCAGTGGGAGTCCTTCCCTCCCTGCCTCACTTTTGATGGGAATGTATAAGGAATGGCATTCTGTCCACTGGGGGTGGGCTCCATGAAGGAGCTGGGATGCACACAAGGCCTGTTGGTACAACCTGTCTTCCTGAGAGATGACAGACATGGGGCATCTTTTCTCTATCCCACTGAGTCCTGGCTCCACAAAAGGGTTAGGTCTTATCACTGGATAATCATCAGCATACACATTGCTGTTAGAGGTGGGTATTCAAAAGCGATGAGAGTTCTCAGAGTTCTACAAAGGTATAGGAAAGGGAAGACTGTGATCTAGACCAGAGTCAAAAGAAAGTACCTTCCAAAGTGTCTCAAGTCTCTCCAAAGATCTGGAATCCCAGGCACTTACATCTTCTTGCTATCCACCAGGGCCTGGATGGAGATCTGGGCTGCCTGGTAGGTGACTGTCTGCTGGCAGCTGCCTTCTTGTCCTACATGGGACCCTTTCTGACCAACTACCGGGATGAGATTGTCAACCAAATCTGGATCAAGAAGGTAAGAAGGCCCAGGGGTAGGCTCTAGAGGAAAAGGGCTTTGGGGAATATGAAAAGATACAGGGAAGAGGGAGAACTTCTGGACTTGAGCTGAAGTTTGGGGCTCTTCTCTTCCCAGATCTGGGAGCTTCAGGTTCCTTGTTCACCTCGTTTTTCCATTGATACCTTCCTGTCCAATCCTACCAAAGTTCGTGACTGGAACATCCAGGGATTGCCCTCAGATGCTTTCTCCACTGAGAATGGCATCATTGTTACCCAGGGCAACAGGTGAGTTACATTGTGCAGGGAGTGAGAGGCAGAGGAGCAAGAGCCTGTCTTCTAACTGACACTTCCTTTGTTAGGTGGGCTCTCATGATCGATCCTCAGGCCCAAGCTCTGAAGTGGATAAAGAACATGGAAGGAAACCAGGTATTAGTCTGGGCAGTTGGTTGGGCTACTCTGGAAGAATCTCCTCCTGAGCTGAGTCTCTTCTCAAGGTTCTGCTCTTGGCCATTGTGTCCGTGGTGTTCCTTTGTGTTCCTTCCATTGATCCCCTTGTTCTCTAGGGCCTAAAGATCATTGACCTGCAGATGAGTGATTACCTTCGTATCCTAGAAAATGCCATCCAGTTTGGATTTCCGGTGCTGCTCCAGAATGTGCAAGAATATCTGGACCCCACGCTCAACCCTGTGCTCAACAAATCTGTAGCTCGAATTGGTCAGAGCCCAGGCTTACTATGGGCTCACTGTGGGCTGGTCCTAGAGACCAATCAAGTAGGACACTAGGGTGGAAAGAGTGGCTCTTTGAGTGTGTCCTGTACCTCCATGTAGATAGGCCTGGGTGGAGCCTTTAGGGTAGGCTGAGTCATGGGTCTAGATACCAGTGGGGAATGGGACAGCCTAAACCTGATCATATAAGATTCTTGCCCTTGACCCTTTTGTGGATGTAGGTGGACGGCTGCTAATGTGCATTGGTGACAAAGAGGTGGAATACAATCCCAATTTCCGTTTCTACATTACCACCAAACTCTCCAATCCCCACTATAGCCCGGAGACCTCAGCCAAGACCACCATTGTCAACTTTGCTGTTAAGGAACAGGTGAGTAAGGACAGATATCCAATTGAGCTAGGGTAAAGCAGGAAAGGCTGGAGAATCTAGAAAAATATCTGAGAAAAAGGCTAAGCTTGACCTGGGCAAGTGAGGACAAGGGTCTTGGGAGGTCTGGAGGGATGACAGAGGTGGAGACCACAGGAATGGGATCCTAACCCTGAGTCTTGGCTCTTTTAGGGCCTGGAGGCCCAACTGTTGGGCATTGTGGTTCGGAAGGAAAGGCCTGAGCTTGAGGAGCAGAAGGATTCACTGGTCATCAACATTGCTGCTGGAAAGAGAAAACTCAAGGAGCTGGAGGATGAGATCCTCCGGTGTGACTGCCACCCCTACTCCCCACTCCCACCCCCGCCTGGCATGCTCCCAGTTGGCCTACCCATAAGGCACAACTATTATTCTAGGGGGACAAGAGGAGTCCTTTCCCTCCAGCCCAGCACTTCAAACTCCCTGATCCACATGCCTCTTGTCTTTCTCCTAGCTTGCTGAACGAGGCCACAGGTTCTCTGCTAGATGATGTGCAGCTGGTGAACACCCTGCAGACATCCAAGATAACAGCCACTGAGGTAACTGAGCAACTGGAGACCAGTGAGACCACGGAGATCAACATTGACTTGGCCCGTGAGGTGAACTGCTACACCCTCCTGCCCTGCCCTTGGCCAGCCACCAAGAAGCAACTCAGATCATGTCGGCTTGAGATCTCTTCTTCTTCCCCTGAGCTCCTGTTTGTGCCTACCCCTCTGTTGCCCTGACTCTGTTGACTCCCACAGGCTTACCGCCCATGTGCCCAACGGGCCTCAGTGCTGTTCTTCGTGCTCAATGACATGGGCCGCATTGACCCCATGTACCAGTTCTCCCTGGATGCCTACATCAGCCTCTTTATCCTCAGCATTGACAAGAGTCATCGCAGCAATAAACTGGAGGACCGCATTGACTATCTGAATGACTACCACACCTATGCTGTCTACAGGTCTGATGGCCATGCACAAAGCAGGGGCCAAGTAGCTGGCTCTGATATGTCTCTGGCTACTTGTGGCATAGTGACACAGTAGGGGTATTGTTAAAAACACAGATTTGAGAGTTGGGGCTGGGGGTTCAGTGAGTAAAGTGCTTGCTGTGCAAGCATAAAGACCTGACCTCAGATCCCAGGCACCCACACAAAAAGCTGGGTGTGGAGGCACATGCCTGTAATCTCAGCACCTAGAGAAGTAAGATGGGAGGATCCTGGGACTTTCTGACCAGCCAGTCTACCTGGATCTGTGAGCTCTAGTTCAGTGAGAGAATTGTCTCAAAAAAAATAAGGTGCAGAACAATTGAGGAAAGGTATTTGGTATCACCATCTGGCCTCCACATGCATACACACACATGTACATGTGCCCTCCCCCGATGAAAACACACATACTCACATACTCACTCACAAAATAGACTGGGATTCAGGAAGTCTGGGATGGGCTTGTGATTCTGCATCTCTAACAAGCTTCCAGGGAGCTGTTGCTTCTGGTCTGTGGAACACATTTTTTTAAAACTTATAGTTATTATTTATTTTGGGGCATGCATGTGTATGGCATGGCACGCTTATGGCAGCAAGTTTCTTTACCTGCTGAACCATCTTGCCAGCCTATGACTCAAATTTTGAAATTCCAAAGTACTTGATTTTTCTGCCCCTACAGATGCCTCAAGTTCAACTTGTTTCAGATCAAACTTGTGATCTACCCTCTTCCACCAGGGTCTGCATCCCTTAATGTCTCATCCACCCCACAGTCACCTGTCAGAAACTTGGAGATACCCCCAATTCTTCCAACTCTGATCAGTTACTGTGTTCTGTTTGTGAACATTCCTGTCAGCTTCTCCCTGTTTCTCCACTGACTGTCAGGGCTTGTCATGATCTCTCTGAGTTACACAGCAATCCCCTAATAGCTCACCCTGCCTGTTTGTCCCTCCCAATATTTTCTCCACCAGGTACCAGTGTCAGCCCTCCAGACATAAATCTGACCCTGTTACTCCTGGCTTAAACTCTTCATTGGTTGTCATATCTTGAGTGGCCTCCCAAAGCCCTCTGTGACCTGGTCTCCACTTGCCACAGTCTCCCAGCTTCATGCCAACTTGCACCCCACGCCTTTCTCAGCTTTCCTTATGCTGTAAGCTCTCCTTGGAACACTCAACTCCCATCTCTCCCATGCTACATCTTGGGTACCAACTACTCTCTGGAGCTCTCCAAGTCTATCAGGCAAGGCTGGGCACTGTGCCCCGCATTCCCTGAAAACCACTCTCATCTCATCATGACTCATTGCCTCTGGGTATCTGTGTCAGAGCATGAGACTCCCTGCCGTGGCCATGACTTCAAGGACAGAGCTATCTTATCAGTATCTTCAGAAACTACAGAGTGCCCAGCACAAGACTGAGGAATAATCAATGTTTTGTTTCTTAATGGTACTGAATGCCTAGTTATGAGTGAACTCTGGGAAAATCATGTCAATCTCTCAAGGCCCCTGAGTCCTTGGCTATCTCTAGAAGGCTCAGGTTAGATGCTGACTATGGTCCTTCTATGTAAGGCTCTGTGTAGGACCTTTACTCAGTGAGTATTTCTGTTGGGTGTCTCGTCCCCAGGCCACTTCGCCTCCTTAATCCTCCCTGTCTCGTCCTCCTAGATATACCTGCCGCACTCTTTTTGAACGCCACAAGCTACTGTTTAGTTTTCATATGTGTGCTAAAATCCTGGAGACTTCTGGCAAGCTCAACATGGATGAGTACAACTTCTTTCTGCGTGGGGGTGTGGTAAGTCAGTCAGAGGACACTTCCCAGGGTGGTGGTCAAGGTTGAGGATGGGGGCAAGTGTGATAAGGACTCCAGACCCAGAGCACCAAGCCTAAGGCTTCGCTGAATGATCTGAGGAAAACCATGCCAGAATCAGGTTTACATGGGCACCCTGGGGTCATAAGGCTGACTCATTTCACATGGGCATGGGGCACCTCTTACCTGTGATGTACTAGTGGCATGATCTTGCCACAGTTTTGCTGCCTCTCAGGCCATTCCTTCCTGGGCTTGAATTCCATGGTCTCTGTCTGTCTCTGTCTCTGTCTCTCTATCTGTCTGTCTGTCTGCTTGTCTGTCTGTCTGTCTGTCTGTCTGTCTCTCTCTTTTGCAGGTGCCTCTACCCTTCTGTCTTCCCTCTGTGTGCTGCATTTGCTTGGAAAAACCACTACTCTGCTAGACTCAGCTCTTCTGCCACCGTGTGTGGCCCATGCAGCTGAACAGAGCTGGAGAAAAATACCCACACTGCCCAGACTTCCTTGGGCCTCTCTTGAGCTTCAAGTGCACCCTTAAAGCTACCAGATAACTGTGCTGCATTCCTCTCCCTCCCAGATAGCACTTTTTTCTTTTCTCTCCCTTTACTGGATTTTAGCAACAGCCTTTTGATAATACCCCACCATCTCAAACCAGCAGCCAGGAAGATTTTTAACATGGATGCCATTTAGATAGGACTTCCCCAGGGCCATTATCTCCCTTGCCTCTCCCATTTCCACTTCAGCTATACAAGAGCTCGTTGCCTTCAAACACTCTGGCATGTCTCACCCAAGGGCATGTGCCCCAGCTGCCCTGTGCCCAGGAAGTTATTCCTCAGATGTATACTCAGCCCTCTCTCACTTTGCAACCTTGGTGGTGCTGGGGATAGAACCCAGAGGCTTACCTGGGCTAGGCAAGTACCGTGCCACTGAGTCACACCCCTAGTCCTTGTTGTAATTTAATACTTCCCACTGCCCCTCAGCACTCCAGTTTCCACCTCCTTGGCTTTTCCTACCTTCACATGGCACTGCAGTCTTTAATATAATAGAGAACCCATTCTTGTGTTATGCCTTGGGGGAGGGGTTTGAGACAGGGTTTCACTCACTTGGAACTCACTCTGAAGTTAAGGCTGCCCTTGAACTCATGGCAGTCCTCCTACCACCTCCTGAGTACTGGGATTACAGGTGTGTGTCATCACTCCCGGTTTGTTATGCTTTTTTTATTTTTTTTTATTTTTTTTTGGTCTTTTTGAGACAGGGTTTCCCTGTAGCCCCAGCTGTCCTGGAACTCACTATGTAGACCAGACTGGCCTTGAACTCACAGAGATCTTGCCTGCCTCTGCCTCCCGAGTGCTGGGATTAAAGGCGTGCACCACCATGCCTGGCTTTGTTATGCTTTTAATAGCCTATAATCTTCTCCCTGAGTTCCTAACCCCATGTTGGAAAGTAAACAACTCCAGAGCATAGACAATCATTTGATGTGTTCGGTGATACATCTCCAGTGCATAAATAACGGTGAATGAACAATAAATAGTCCTGCAAAAACCACATAGCAGAGGCCAGGCATGGTGGCACCTGACTTAATCCCAGCACTCAGGAGGCACAGACAGGCAGATCTCTGTGAGTGCCAGACCAGCCTGGTCTACATAGCCAATTCAAGGCCAGCCAGGGCTACATAGTGAGACTGTCTCAAAGAAGAGAAATCCCATAGCAGTAGCACCTACCTGAAGCCCCAGCTACTTGGGAGGCTGAGGCTGGAGAATCCCCTGATCCCAAAAGTTAAAAACTAGCCAGACCAACCCTATTTCAAGAAAAAAATTTCAGGATGGCTGAATGGATAGGGGTGCTTGCCACCAGGCCTAACAACCTGAGTTCTAGTCTTAGGACCCACATGGTGGAAGAAGAGAGCCAACTCACACAGACTATCCTCTGACCTCCATACATACACCATGGGCACAGGCATGAGTGCCTCCCATACAAAATAATTTTTAAAAACAGAAAAAGAAAAAAACATTTATGAGAGGGACTTGGTAGACGGCTTACTGGGCAAGAGCACTTCCTTTATAAGCACGAGAACCTGAGTTTGAATTCAGAGTCACTCACATTTTTAAAAAGCTAGGCATGGATGTATATGGTGGTTCCCTCAGCACTGGGGTGAGGGGATGGGGTGGAGACATAGAGATTGGATCTTGGGAACTTGCTGACCAGCCAGCCTCACCTAAATGGCAAGCTTCCAATTTAGTGAGAGACTGTCTCCAGAATAAGACAGAAAGCAGTAGAAGGAAACACCTAACATCATCCTCTGGCACACACACACTCCACACACATAGACATGTACCCTGCCCCCCCACATATATGCTACATACATACACCCCCCCAACATACAACACACCCACACCCACACACACACACCATGCACACATATACACACGTGTACCACACCCACATACACACACATACCCCCCCACTCCACACACATATACCATGTGCATGTGCTACACACACACCACACCACACACACACACACCACACATACCCACCACACACATACCTACACAAAAACAATTAAAAAATAGAAAAAAATGTTTAAAAGGATGAATATATGCATGGAATGAAGCAGTTTGTGGGTCTTCTGTGGGATGGCTACCAACAGTAGCTTTGGGCACATTACTGACACTGAACCACCAGAGGGCACCAGCTTCCCAAACGTCAGCTGTGATGGATCTTAGTAATGAGTCGTCATCACACGCCCCCCCCCCCCCCCCCCCCCCCCCGGCCCAATTATTCCTCAGAAAGGTGATTCCCACCCATTTTGGATTCCTGTATTCAGCATTTCAGTTGCTGTTCACTCTCTTTTATACAAGACCAACATGAGGGAATAACTTTTAAAATATAATCTTTTATTTGTAATTGAAACAGCAATTATACAGTTTTATGGGGTACAGTATAGCTTAAAAATTTTTTTTTGAAACCAGGTGTGGTGGCACACACCTTTAGGAGGCAGAGACAGGTGATTCTCTGTGAGTTTGAGGCCAGCCTGGTCTACATAGTGAGTTCCAGGCCAGCTGGGGCTATAGGGAGACCCTGTCTCAAAAAGACAATAAAAGAGATAAATTTGTTTTATTATTTTAATTAATTTATTTTTATTTTATGTGTATGAGTGCTTTGCCTACATGTGTGTATGTGTACTTGTGTCATGCAGTGCCCTTAGAGGCCAGAAGAGAGCTGGGGCTAGAGTTACTGAGTGTTTTTAGCTGCCTTCTGGGTGCTGGGAACTGAGCCTGGGTCCTTTGCAGGAGCAGCCAGTGTTCTTAACCACTGAGCCATCTCCCTAGCCCCCTTGTCATTTCTTTGAGTTAGGAACATTCGAATCAATACCTCTTGTTTTGAAGGTTCTGGGCATTTCTTTCTCCTCTCTGTTTTCCCCAAGGTCCTGGATCGGGAAGGCCAAATGGACAACCCATGTACTAGTTGGCTAGCAGATGCCTACTGGGACAACATCACAGAGCTGGACAAACTGACCAACTTCCATGGACTCATGAACTCCTTTGAGCAGTATCCTCGGGACTGGCACATGTGGTATACCAACGCTGCCCCCGAGAAAGCCACGCTGCCAGGTGCCAGACCTTAGAGCCTCTGCCTCCCTGTTCCCCTCCCTGCAGCCTGCTCCACATCCTCCCCCTCCTGACCTCTCCTCCACTGCTGCAGTCCCTGCAGGTTCCCCTTTGTTTAGATTCCATCCAGACTTTGACAATCATTCTCTCATCCCCAGGTGAATGGGAAAATGCATGCAATGAGATGCAACGAATGCTGATCATCCGCTCCCTGCGCCAGGACCGAGTGGCATTCTGTGTTACTTCTTTCATTGTCTCGAACCTAGGCTCTCGCTTCATTGAGCCACCTGTGCTAAACATGAAGTTGGTCAGTGGCTCTTTGCTCTTGCCCTCACAGTCTTGCTCTCCCTCTACCTTTCAACACCCCACTACAGCTTCCTCATGCTTCTCCTCTTGGTTCTGTGGCCTTTGGCCTGAGAGTAGGCCTGTGCTTCCAGGTGATGGAAGATTCAACCCCGAGAACTCCACTCATGTTCATCCTATCCCCGGGTGTGGACCCCACCAGCGCTCTGCTCCAGCTGGCAGAACACACAGGCATGGCCCAGCACTTCCATGCCCTGTCCCTGGGCCAGGGCCAGGCTCCCATTGCTGCTCGGCTCCTCCGAGATGGTGTGATTCAAGGTCAGCATCCATCTGTTCTTTCACTTCCAACCCTCAGCCCCAGTCCTCCTTCTCAGACCCTCCAAACTTAAACCATGGTCCTGTGACTACAGCTCTCACTTTTCCAGAAACCCTCAGAAGTAATAGGCACTATTGGACACCAACCCCACTTCCACCAGGTGGAAAGTGTGTGCATCAGAAAGCTCAAGGAACGATTCTTGCTGACTCTGGCATCTCCTTGCAGGACACTGGGTATTCCTGGCAAACTGCCACCTGTCTCTGTCTTGGATGCCTAATCTGGACAAGCTAGTGGAACAGCTGCAAGTAGAGGACCCTCACCCTTCCTTCCGGCTCTGGCTCAGCTCCAGCCCCCACCCAGACTTCCCAATCTCCATTTTGCAGGCCAGCATCAAGATGACCACAGAGCCACCAAAGGTACAGTGGCTGCAGAGAGCTAGTAGCATCACCTGTGCTGACAGTTTGCATTTCTTCTCACTAGTATCAAAGAAAGGTCTCAACCTTAACAGCTCAATTTTAAATTTGGTTGTTTCCTAAAAAAATAAAAACAAAACAAAAAACCCCACAAAACAACAACAAAAAAAGCAAAAAAAAACCTCTTCCAGCTCATTTCTCTCTTCTTTGTGTCTAACTCCTACTACATAATAGCAATAACATTTCCTGAGGGAGTATTAATTATGAGCAAAGCACTATTCTGACTTGTTTACATTTATAAATTCATTCAGCACACACACACACACACACACACACACACACACACAGAGGTATACCCACATCAGGTGAGAACTGCTACTCCTATGTTACAGATGGGACACTGAGGCACGGAGGAGTAAATTAGTATCCCAGAGTGAAAATTTGGGTGTGAATTCCCATTCATTCATTCATTCATTCACATCATGGAAGCTTCTGCTTCTTGAGTTTACCTTCTCTTTCCAAGGTCACACTTCCTAGAGGCTTCTCAGCCTCATTCTCCCTCCCTTCCTTCCAAGTCTCTTGAGAGTTTTATCTCTAACATCACAAGTTCACCATTGAATGCAATGATACTGAAAGTAATAATACTGATCCCCCATTCCTTCTTTTGAGACAGGGTCTCTGTAGCCCTAGCTGGCCTGGAACTCACTATGTAGACCAGGCTGGCTTTGAACTCATGGAGATCCACCTGCCTCTGCCTCCTGAGTGCTGGGATTAAAGGTATGTGCCACCATGCCTGGCTAATACTGATCCTTTAAAATCTGTCCATGTCATTATATTCCACCACCCATAGACCCTCTACTTAAGCTATTTGGAAAAGTGTTTTGCTTTATTGTGGTGCTGGGGATGGAACCTAGGGCTTTGCAAAGCAAGCACTCTACCACTGAGCTTCTGAACTATGTATCCAGCTGTTGTTTCTTTGGAGACAAGGGTCTTGCTGTGTCATCCAGCCTGGTCTCAAACTTGTCATCACCCTGTTTCAGCCTCCCGAGTGCTGGGATTACAGGTGAGTAGAACCACCACCATGCCTAGCTTGCTTATTTTGGTAGCTTTTTATTGCTCTTAGTTGAGATCAAAATCATTTTTACCTGCTTTATGAAAAACACAGGAAACAATCCTTACTATGTTCTTAAAAAACAAATCTTGTCTGAATGCATGCTTGGAGCCTTTCTGCATCCTATTCTCCTTGACCCTCCTGCATGACTGGCCCAGATGACTGTCCCCTTTCCTGGCTTTATGGACACTATGCTTTCTATTTTCTCTCCTTTTGACACATTGTTTATTGATTCCCTGTTTCTTTTTGGTGTTTTTGAGACAGGGTCTCCCTGTAGCCCCAGCTGGCCTGGAACTCACTATGTAGACCAGCCTGGCGTTGAACTTATAGAGATCCACTTGCCTCTGCTTCCTGAGTGCTGGGATTAAAGGCGTGTGCCACCACCTCCAGCTAAATTCGGTGTTTCTTTCTGCTCTTTGTATCTTAAGACTTAGTCCTTGGTCTCCCACTTTTCTCATCCTTCATTTCCTCCCTCACAGTTTATTGGAGAAACTGTCCTTTTCATGAGTTCATCTCCACTCCTCTTTGACTGAAATGCCATCTGATGATAAAGCATTTCCTCCTGGCATACCAACCCCATGAATCCTATATTCCTACAAGTTGTTGACTTCTTCGTTCATTAGCTCTTTATCCCACTTTTGCCTCTGGTGTCACTGCTTTTTTTTTTTTTTTAAAAAAAATATGTTTAGTGTTAGAACACTTGCCTACATATGCCTAATATACATAAAATCGTGGTTCCATCCCTAGCACAGGAAAGAAATGTACAGTTGACTTTTAAAAAATGAGACAGGGTCTCATGTAGCCCAGGCTAATCTTGAACTCACTATGTAACCAAGGATGACTTGAACTCCTGATCCTCTTGCCTCTACCTCCTAAATGTTGGAATGTGCCTCTATGCCTGGTTGTTTCACCTTCATTTTTTTTGCCAAAAAAGTATTCTGTTCGTCTTTAAAAAATGTCAAACAGTCCATAGATCTGTCATTAGTGTAACATAAATCCTGCCCCCTCTTTTTCACAGAGCTTGGGGATTGAATCCAGAACCTCAAGCTTGCTAAATACATACTCTACCACTGAGTTATACACTTCAGAATCTTTTAATTTTTAATTATTTATTTCTTTTAAAACATTTATTGTAAGTCTACGTATGTGTTTTTATTTGTGTGTGTGTACTCATGTGCCCCTCTTTTCTCAATGACTCATGGACCCTAACCTCTCTTTCTTATGAAAAATCATTTTTTTGGCCAGGTAAGATGGCTCAGTAGGTGAAAGTGCTTACCACCAAGCCTGATGACCCGAGTTTAATTCCCAGAACCCACATGGTGGAAGGAGAGAACTGACTCCCATAATAAGTAAATGTAATAAATTAAAAAATAATTTCCTTGCTTTCTAAAAGAACTTTTGTGGTTTAAGTAAGCTGTTTGAAGGTAGGCACCATGAGCTGTGTGTAATTAAAGTGAGAAGCAGTGGAGAACCTGAAGGGAAACCTAAGAGTAGGGAATGGGAATTAGAGAGGATGGCTATTGTAGTGAGAAGGGCCCTCTGGAAGACCTCAGGATGCCTGAGGAAGGAAAACTCTCACTCCTGGCTTGGTGGCTCGGCCTATGAATGCTTTCTATAAAAAGTTGCCTGCTGCAGATGTGAGTCCTTTCTGCCATCTGCCAAACTTAGAATAGTTCAGGGTATACTTGGAATAACTAGATTGCTTGGGTGGGCAAGATGGGTCAGAGGGTAAAGGCAATTGCTGCCAAACCTAATGATATGAGTTCAGTCCTCTGGACTGACAGGGTGGATAGAGAGAACCAACTCCCATAAGTTGTCCTCTGACTGTCGCATATTAAACACCCATGTCTCTAAAAATGACCTTGAACTCCTGATCCTTCTGCCTTCACCTCTTGAATAATGGGGTGACAGGCATGTGCTGCCATGTATCTCCCAGTTTATGCAGTGCTGGGAATTGCCAGGTGTGGTGGTGCTTGCCTACGATCCTAGCACTGAGGAGACTGAGGCAAGAGGGTTGCTATAAGTTCAAGGCCAGCCTGAACTACATAGGGAGACCCTGTCTCCAAAAGCAAAAAGAAGACAAAAAACGCAAACTAGCAGAATGTTAGCATTTCCTTTAAAATGCATCTTCCTAATCTTTCCCTTCTCTCCAGACCCAGAAGTTGTTATTTGAATGTTTTCATTTTCTCTATAATTTAACACAAAGTTCTCTATGCTGTATAATTTTTCTACCATTTGCTTTTCCCATTGAACATTGTGTGCTCAAAATTCATTTTACACTCCACACAGTCAGGTCCTAATCTACTCAGTTACACATCTTATTTTGCCTTTTTTTTCCTTCTCACCATGGCCTTGAACTTGTGATCCTCCTGCTTTGGCCTCTCCAAGTGTACCATCATGCCTAGAAATTCTGTAGATTTCTATTAATTATCAGTTGCATGGGACTGGGGGTGTAGATCCATGGTAGGATATTTTCCTGGCATCCACAAGGGCTTGAGTTCAATCTCTAGCACTGACACCAAACCAAACAAATAAAAAATAGCTGCAGGTATATGCTTTTGTCTTTATTCATATTTTCTGGTATTCTCAAATTGAGTTGGCTTATTATCTGTAATCCCAGCACTGTGGAGGAGAAGGCAGGAAGATCAGTCTGGGTTCTAGGCCAGCCTGGTCTACATAATAGTTCCAGGCCAGCCAGGGCTACATAGTGAGAACTTATTTCCTCCCAAAAAAGGTAGGGCCAGGTTTTGGTAGCATGAACCTTTAATCCCTGCCCTCTGGAGGTAGAATTCAGGTGGATTTCGGGGAGATTGAGGCCACCCTGGTTCTCATCCTGACTTTCAGGCTATGACTAGGGATACCCTGTCAAAAAACAATCAATAACAACAACAAAAAAGAAGAAAGAAAGAAAGAGAAAGAAAGAAAAAGGAAAAAGAAAAGAAAAGAAAAAAAGGGGAGGTAGGGCTGAGAATTAGCTCAGTGGTAGAGTGCTTGGCTCACTTGCATGAGGTCCAAGTTTCAATTCCCAGTACTACCAAAGATAAACAAATAATAAAGAAATAAAGTTGTGTAGGGGAGAAAGAAGGAACGCCAGTAGCATATACAATGCCCATGTATAAAATATAGAAAAAAAGCACCCAGCCTTATAAACGAGTGTCCATCTTGGCATGCAGATCAGGGGCTAGAATTCAGCATCCATTCCCTCCTTTGGCCAGTGCCTTTGTGTGGTGAATCACCTCCACAATTATCCATGACGATGCTCGTAGCAGAGCTGAGCATGTTGCCTATCCCCATACCTCTGTACTTCATTGTCTTCAGGGTCTAAAGGCTAACATGACTCGTCTTTACCAACTGATGACAGAACCACAGTTTACCCGTTGCTCCAAACCTTCCAAATATAAGAAGTTGCTGTTTGCACTCTGCTTCTTCCACTCTATATTACTTGAACGCAAAAAGTTCTTGCAGCTTGGCTGGAACATTATCTATGGCTTCAACGACTCTGACTTTGAGGTTTGTGCTAACCAGAGGGTCTCCCATCTCAGCCCTTTGTCCACTTCCTGCCCCATAGCTCCTTTGTGGGAATATCAGCTGCGAGAAAGCTGATGTTAAAGCCCCCTTGGGAGAATTCCTTTTATAACTCTGTAGGGCTGGGGGCTTGGATTGGGACCATGCACAGGTGTCAGAGAACCTGCTGAGCCTCTATCTGGATGAGTATGAGGAGACACCCTGGGATGCACTCAAGTACCTCATTGCTGGTGTCAACTATGGTGGACATGTCACAGATGACTGGGATCGGCGCCTGCTCTCCACCTACATCAATGATTATTTCTGTGACCAGGCTCTAAGAACTCCTTCCTACCGGTGAGGAGAGGTGACACTGAGTAGGGGGTGAAAGGACATAAAGAGACCAGGAGTCAGATTTGGAAGGGGATATGTGTGGAAGGAGACTGTGAGGTTGGGAGAAGACATGATTTGTGGGATTGAGAAGATCAAGAGCCAGAAGTTGGGTAAATGGGACATGCATAGAGACTGCGGTATGTGCCTGGCATGGAAGCCCAAGTCATGCAATGTGGTAATATTTTTGCTGTGACTCCCAGGTTGTCTGTATTGGAGACTTATTTCATCCCAAAGGATGGGAGCATGGCCTCTTACAAAGAATATATCAGCTTGCTGCCCAGTATGGACCCCCCTGAGGCCTTTGGCCAGAACCCCAATGCTGATGTGGCCTCCCAGATCACTGAAGCCCGAACCCTCTTTGAGACTCTCCTTTCCTTGCAACCCCAAATTACACCCACTAGGGTTGGTGGCCAGAGCCGGGAAGAGAAGGTAGGAACAGAGGATGCCCCAGGGTAGAGAACATGCTGAGGAAGGGCAGGCTCACTCCATGTCCCTGTCTCTTTAGGTCCTTGAGTTAGCCACTGATGTGAAACAGAAGATTCCTGAAATGATCGACTATGAGGGGACCCAAAAGCTGCTGGCTCTTGACCCTTCCCCGCTCAATGTGGTCCTACTGCAGGAGATCCACAGATACAACAAGTTGATGAGGACCATCTTGTAAGAAGGAAGGGCCTCTGTAGAACATCCAGGGGCAGGAGAAAGTCCTCAGCCCTGATTGCAATGGTTCTCCCAGGCCCACACCTCTCTTAATACTCTACCCACCTCATTCCACTTAGGTCCTCACTGACAGACCTAGAGAAGGGTATCCAGGGTCTCATCGTCATGTCAACAAGTCTGGAAGAGATTTTCAATTGCATCTTTGATGCCCATGTTCCTCCACTCTGGGGAAAGGCAAGACCACACCACTGTCAATCTTATTCTATTGAACAATATGCGCTCCTCTCATCCTTGAGCCCTATCACCTCTTAGAAGGCAAATAACAGATTTCAGAGGGCCTGGAGTTCAAATCCAGACAGGTTCAAGGTTGATATCAAGGTGTCCCTCACTAACTGACCGAAGAATGTATTGACTTTACACATGTATTCAGGACACAATGTTAAATTCTCCAAGGATATTTCAAAAATTCCCAGTATTGTGCATGGGACTCAATGAGTACTTCACTGATGGCACCTGATTACTGCAGATCAAGCATCCCTAATCCAAAAATTTGAAATGCTATGAAATCTGAAACTTTTTGAGTGTCAATATGATGTTCAAAAACTTCAGACTGTGGATTTTCATATTAGGGATGCTCTACCAGCAGTCTATGCAATTACTTCACCCCCGCCCCCAAAAGAAACCTTCAGAAATTTTGCCTTGAACATTTCAGGTAGAGTAACCATTCTGTACCAATGCCATTGTTATTAATAGTTGCTTTTAATTTTTTTTCTTGAGAGTTGGCTTTTGGAGGGCTTTGACCAACTGTAATTAGAGAGTTGGGGCTGGTACCACATAGTCTTCTCAAAGCTGCTCTATGTGCCCACAATAAGGACGTGAATGATGAAATAAATGAATTCATGCCTACTCTCTAGGCTTATCCCTCACAAAAGCCACTGGCTTCATGGACCCGGGACCTGGCTGTTCGTGTAGAACAGTTTGAGCTGTGGGCCAATCGGGCCCGGCCTCCTGTGATATTCTGGCTGTCTGGCTTCACCTTTCCCACTGGCTTCCTCACTGCTGTGCTGCAGTCCTCAGCACGACAAAACAATGTGAGCCATATGTATGGTGGCAGGGGGAAAGGAGGCTGGGAACATATATTTACTCTCCTCCTTGGGGGACTCTTTACTGTCGCCTTCGACCCACAGATTTCAGTGGACACACTTTCTTGGGAGTTTATCGTTTCCACCGTGGATGACAGCAACCTGGTGTATCCACCCAAGGTGGGAGTCAATTGACATTGGGCTTCTGAGCCAAAGCTCTGGTGGAGGAGGATGGTGGAAGAGAAAGGAGGACAGTAGTTAGGTCAGAAATATTGACAACTCAGAATCTAGACTTCCCCTGAATCTGTCTCCATCTCTCCCCAGGATGGTGTCTGGGTTCGGGGCCTGTACCTGGAGGGTGCTGGCTGGGACCAAAAGAACTCTTGCTTGGTGGAGGCAGAGCCCATGCAGCTGGTCTGCCTCATGCCCACCATTCACTTCCGTCCAGCAGAGAGCCGCAAGAAGAGTGCCAAGGGTGGGACCCCCTCCCCCACTTGCCTACTCCACCCTCTGTTTGGATCCTAATTCATCCCCTGCTCACATGCACCTGCCCGGATCTCCTAGGCTCCAGGAGACTTGACTCCTTTTCCTTTCTTTCTCCCTAGGCATGTACTCCTGTCCCTGTTACTACTATCCCAACCGGGCAGGCAGTACAGATCGAGCCTCCTTTGTCATCTGCATCGATCTCAGATCTGGAGCCATGACATCTGATCACTGGATCAAGAGGGGCACTGCTCTACTGATGAGCCTGGACAACTAAAGAGGCCCTCTTTTCTTCCCTGCTGGGGAGGGTCGAGAGCGCGAAGACGGATATAGCACCTTGAACTAAAGCTGGATCTCAGGCTTTTTTACCTTAGGAGACAGGCCTAGTGGCATTAGCTTTAATTTGAAGGTAGAAGAGTTGTATTGGAGCTCAGCGCAGTAAAAACGTCCAACCCCAAGTCTGTCAAGGGAATGATGGTAACTTAGCGCGCGCGCGCGTGCGTGCGTGTGTGTGTGTGTGTGTGTGTGTGTGTGTGTGTGTGTAGGGGTAGGGGAACGAGAAGGGGAAATCTGGGACTTACAAATGGACCGGAGCTCCAGATGTGCTGTTTCGAGGAGGACCAAGAACTGGAAGTGGGTGGCTACAAGAGGAAGGGAGGTGTGGCCTTGAACCAATCGGCCTGGGCTGTTGGGCCTATAGAGTGTGGCTAAACCTTGGGGGACGAGCTTGAGAAAGCGGGGCGGGGCTTATTCTGGAAGGGCGCGGGATCCAAATAGAGTAAGGATTTGGCAAGGATCCGGAATGGGCCATACACAGCGCCCTGAGTCTTGCAGCTGTCACTTGGTATCCTATCATACACCGGAGCTGAGGAGGGCCCGACCTGCTGAGGGCGGGGCGGAGCCGGAGAGAGGGACATCGGCGCGTAGGGGCGGGACCACGGGAGGGGGCGGGGCTGGGCCAACTGCGCCACGGGGCGGAGCGCCCCCCCCAGCCCCTGCCTGGGAGAAGGGGGGGGCGCTCGACCCCCAGGAGGTCTTGGGCAGCCTGAATACCTGGGACCCCCCCCAAGGACCAGGTAACGGGGAGCTGCGAGGGCGTTTGGAAAGAGGGAAACCCTTTCCGTTGAAAGGTGGGGGGGACGTCCGAATCGCTGGAGGGGTCGGTCTGAGGATGGGCGTTCGGGTCTTGGGAAAGGCAGTAGGAAAACTGAGGCGCAGGACATCCGGATCCCTCAGAAGAGAGCAGGACGGGGGTGGCGGAAGAACTGTCGTCTTGGGTTCCAGAGGTCAAGAGGGGCCTGAAGGCACTCGGTTCCCTCTTGGGCTGGGATTCACCTTACCTGCACTAGGGCAAGGCGCAGCTATCTTAACCGAAAGGCAAGGCTAAGGGGCAAAATATGCAGACAGGTCAAGACAAGGGTCCACTGAGGTCAGGTAGGGTGTGCCTCCGTCCCCGCGGGCCACCTGGCGTCTCCTTCCAGGGCTTCCTACCGTGGAGGACTGTAGCCTCACCATCTCCCCTGCCCCCGCACCTTCCTTCCGAAGGCCTCGCCCGGGTAGTTTCCCCAGTTCCTCCCTGGTGATGTCCCCACTTTGCCCTCTCCAATTCCCCAGTCTTCGCTGGGCTCAGGCCCTTCTCGGGGCTGAACCTTTCCCGCATAGCCACGAGATGGCGAGGATGAGACGCCCACCAAGGCCGAGGGGCGTTCGGGTGGCGGAGGTGGCCTTGAAGCCCTAGCTCAGGCCTTTGAGAAAGGTGGGCTGAGGCTCTCCTTTTATTTCCTGTCATCCGGCCACCCCCTCCTCACAGGAAATTGTGAGCCAAAGGGCAGGAGATGGAGAAGAGGCAGGGGACACTGTCTGCGCTTTTTCTGGGCTGGTATAAAGTGTCGAAGGGGCACGCAGGTTGGTTACTAAGCAACAGATTCGCTTCCGGCCCGCGGGGGCTGGCAGCTGTCTTGGGGTGGGGGTTGGAGAATGGGGAGCTAAGAGACGGTGGGAAAGTCGAAGGCGCTGAGAGCCAGAGGAGAAAGAAGCAGCGACCTGGGGTGCTATAGAAAGAGAGTCAGTGGTTGTCGGGAGGAAAGCAGGACCCAGAAGCTGGCACCCATAGGTACCCTGTTGCTCCCGGGGGTTGCTTGCCCTGTTGCCAGAGTAACAGGCCACCGAGAGTCCCAAGCCAGATTCCCAAACTCTCCCTGCTGTCCAATCCACTGCAGCGGACGTCACCTACGTCAGAGCACAGACGACCAATGGGGAGCTGGCGTTATGTGGCTACCGGAAGAGGGTGAGGGAGGAGATGGAAGGAGGGAGGGGCTGACTGCTCAGGATCTGCACGTGCACTCCCACACGCTCGCTCCCACCCCCTTCCTCTGCATGCGCACAAGCAGTCTTTTGCGCCTGCGCGGCGAACACCGTTTTTCGCCCCCCCCGCCCCCCCGCAGGTTTTCAATCTGTTTGCAAACTAGTCCTAGGCTGCGTTTCTCAACCCCTGTGGGCCCAGACGTCTGGGTCGGGTTTGTGCTCTTTCGGCGGGTCTCGACTGTTATTGTCATCCTCGCGTGGGAAGGCGGGCTACCTGTGTACCCCACCGCCACCCCCAGCTGCCGCCCCAAGTTCCCAGGTGGGCTGGGCGGAGCTGTGGTTTCCGGCCCCGTAAGCTCAGCTTCAGCTTTCTCGAGCTCTAGCTTAGGTTGGTTCCCCAAAAGAAAAGGGATGGGTGCAGGAGCCCCTTCCCGAGGTTTCACCCGCCCAGGCTCAGCTGCAGTTGGTAATCGGGGAAGACACTGGGGGAAGCCCCAGAAGGTCCAGGTGACTGACTGCCTGGGTCGTCACGCCCAGTTTTTTATAGTGAAGTCCTGCTTTTTGATCTGCACCCAAACCCAATCCCCCTGATGTTTCTCCGCGCTCGTCCTGGTGCTCTTTGCACCTCCCTTGGCTCCTTTCGAGTTGTCCCCGTCTCCACTCGCCCTTCTCTGCTTCTCCAGAGGGTTATATAACTCTTCTCTCGGCGTGTCCTGATTTCAACTCCACAGACTCCGCCCTGGAACAGCGCGAGAGGGGCGGGAGAGTTGGGGACCCAGACAGATTCCGGCTGACGGCCGGCTGCGGTACAGGGGATCCCGCAGATAGGAGACGGAGCCCCGCGGGACTTGGTGCCCGGTCCCCGGTGTCCCGTCCCCAACTAGGGATCTTGCCCAGAAGAAAAGGCACAGTATCTCCAAGGGGCGTGTCGGGACTCCAGTCCAGAATGTGGGTTGGGAGGTCAAGGCAGGTGGCTGAGAGGAGGAGGCAGACAAGAGGCCCTAGTCCTATAGGATTAGTCTTACTGGGGCTAATAGAGATAAAGGCAGGACGCCTGGGTTCCCAGAATTCCTAACGCTATTTCTCAGGAAGCTTAGCCAGCGGCTTCTTAGCCCCTGGTAGGAGTCAAAGGTCTGTGTTAGAGGTGGCCTGGGATGATGTCACCAGTGCACGTGCCCCGGGACTGTTGCCAGGCGATGAGATCTCCTCCCCTTTTCATTCCCTCCCGCCTCTGCCCCAGTCCAGTTCCAGTCCCGTGCCATCTCTTTTCCCTCTCCTTTCACTTGGCATTAACGTCCTGCAGGTGGGAAACCCTGGCCTGGAGTTCTCTGCGGGGGAGGGGCACGGGTGTGGTGTGGCTTGAAAGACTTTGCCCCCTTGCTGGGTCGAGAGAATTCTGGGTCATATTTCTCAAGATTAGCATAGAAAAACTTCCTCTCCGAGCTCTCCCCTCCCTTGGAAGAGCCTCCTAGAAGTCTCTTTACTTTCCCACCTGCTGCATGTCCCAGGGTCATATTGCCCCTTCCCTATCAGGAGTTCAAGTGGGAGTGGTTGCAAGACAGCTGCCCGCTAGAAGTAAAGTAGAACGTGAAGATACACACAAGCTCATCCCTGACACCCCCTTATCCAGTTGTTCCCTCCTCTCACCAAACTGAGGAAAAGGGTCAGGAAACTGTGAGTCTGAAAAATCAAGGTCTTTATCCTGTGTAGATAGGTGGATCAGTTTCTAGCATTGCTCACTAGCCAGAGAGGGACTCGGTGATAGTTATGGCTGCCCTTCTGTGTTAAGTCTTGGAACTGGTGGTGGAATTGGTGTTGTCTCCTTTCATATCTTAGAATTTGGGCCATCAGGTCAAACGTAGATTCTAAGCCCAGCCCTGTCTCTAAGTGGGACTTGGAAAGGTCACCACTTTTCAGCTTTCTATTCATAATCTGGGAAATTTAAATATCAATACCTACCTTCTAGGCCAGTGAGAAGGGATGGTGAAATAATTTATGCAAAGCACTTAGCTCACTGGTTGCCACAAAATTAATACTGAATGAATGTTTATCATGAAATACTATTAAATGGAGTTAGCTATTGTATAGTTGGTGGACCTGCACTAAAATAGCCATGACTAGGAATTGGTTAGGAGAGTTTTGATAACTGTGGAGTGGGGAAATGGTTGAGGATTAGCTTTGACTGCTTTATGTAGCTTATTTGGTGTCAGCTTTAGTAATATTTGTACTGCTTTCTTTAGGATTAGTTTTCCCCTCTCAAAAAATAGCCGACTATTCCTTTAATTGTTAAAATAAAATAATTGTAATTGTGATTTTTCAAGCGATACTCTCCTTCTCTTCATTGCTTTCTGGAGCCTTTGCTTTTGCAAAGGGACTCCACAGTTTCCCTAACCCGGACAGGGCTAGGCAAAGGGGTTTGTAAAAGGTTGGGGTGGGTG